TTTAAATCTCCACTGTTTCCAAACTCTTATTTAATACTGGATGCAAAGAACTCCTACAATCTGGTTCTGGTCTACTTCTCTAACCTTGTTCTCCTCCAGCAGCATTCTATGATGAAGCCACATGAGGACAAGACTGCTAATTATAACTCAATATCTGTTTGCTTCCTCAGTTTTTATATCCTAATTTTTAGCTGAAAATGTGGACATGGAATAAGGATCTTTCCCAGCCTCCCTTGCAGCTATGTGACTAGATTCAGGCCAATGGGATATGAGCCATGCCCTTAAGAGAGGAGGCATGCATGGACTTTTCCATCCCTCTTCCTTTTCCCGCTTGTTGGAATGTGGGAAGTAATAGTTTAAAGAGTCTTTTTGACCACTAGGTAGAAAGTGCCCGTGGAGGATGACAGCACTGTTGTGGATGAATAGAGCCAGGTCCCTGATATCTGTGAAAACTGCCATACCAACCCTGGACTGCCTACGTAGGCTTTTACATAAGAAGCTTCTTTATTGTTTAAACCCCTGTTGCACTGGATTTTCTGTCCCTTGGAGCAGTTTTGTCTGACCCTAATATATCGTACCATTCTTCCAGTTGTCCATTATCTGGATTTTGAATTCATGCTTGCAATTTCCTCTGCCTGAAACACTGCTAACACCTTCTGTCCTTGTCTGCTTTCATCATTTAAATCTGAGCTGAAGTATTACTCTCCTGGGTAAGTCTTTCTTGAGTTCCAAGATAAGGTTAAATACTCTTGCTGGGTTTTTTTCTTACACTTTCCAGGGAAAGTGTAAGGGAAACTGTAAGGAAAATACTCATCAACTGGTAGATAAATGTAAGTCTCTTTTAATACTACATACTCTTTAAGAGCAAGTATCTGCTTTGTGCACTGTCATCCAAGTGTTTGGCACTCCGTATATGCCAACAAATATTTGCTCAATGAACAAATGAATAATGTCATAGCCCTTGCATAATTTCTGGACCACACCTTGAGAACTTCTTGGCCTTACATTACAGGACTCCTGTAAACTTCACCTATAGCTCTATTCCTGTCAGTCACACAATGTAAACACTGTTTCTCTACATTCTCTTTTGACAGTTCTGAAAAGTGCCAACTCCTTCAACAGATCCACACAGTTTTCTTGCACATCTTCACTTTCTCATTATACACCTAGGGCTAGAAGGGAAGTACTATGGGCATTCTTGGAATTACAAAAACATGGAACAGCAAAATTGAGAAAGAAGAACAAAGTTACAGGTGTCTTACTACCTGACGTCAAACTACACAAGGCTACAGTAATCAAAACAGCAAGGTACTTGCATAAAAACAGACTCGTAGATCAATGGAACAGAACTGCCCAGAAATAAACCCATGCTTATATGGTCAATTAACATTTGAAAAAGGAGGCAACAACTTACAATGGAATAAAGACAATCTATTCAATAACTGGTGTTGGGAAAATTGGGCAAATACATGCAAAAAATGAAACTAGACCACCTTCTTACACCATATACAAGAATAAACTCGAAATGGATTAAAAACTTAAATGTAAGGCTTGAAACCTAAAAAAAAAACAGGAAATAAAATCTCTCACATTTCTCTTAGCAATCATTTTTCTACTGTATCTTCTTGGACAAGGGAAACAAAAGAAAAAAATAAACAAACAGGACCATATCACACTAAAAAGTTTTTGTAGAGAAAAGGAAACAAGCAACAAAATAGAAAGACAACCTACTGAATGGGAGAAGATATTCAGCAATGACACATTCAATAATGGGTAAATATCTAAAATTTACAGAACTCATACAACTCAACACCAAAAAAAAAAAAAAACTAATCCAATTAAAAAACGGGCAGAGGATCCGAATAGATACATCTCCAATGAGGACATACAGATGGCCAATAGACATATGAAAAGATACTCAATGTCACTAATTACCGGAGAAATGCAAAATAAAACTACAATGAGATATCACCTCACACCTGTCAGAATGGCTATTGTCATTAAATCATCAAATAACTAGTATTGGCGAGGATGTGGAGAAAATGAAACCCTCGTGCACTGTTGGTGGGAATGCAGACTGGTGCAGCCACTATAGAAAACAGAATAGAGGTTCCTCAAAAAATTAAAAATAGAACTGCCTTATGACTCAGCAATTGCACTTCTGGGAATATACTTGAAGAGACCCAAAACACTAAACCTCAAAATAATACATGCATCCCCATGTTTACTGCAGCATTATTTACAAGAGCCAAGATATGGAAGCAAACCAAGTGCCTATAAAGAGACTAAGGATAAAAAAAGCAGTGGTCCATGTATACAATGGAATATTACTTGGCCATAAAAAAGAATGAAATCTTACTATTTGAAACAGCATGGATGTACCTGGAGAGTACTGTGCTAAGTGAAATAAGTCAGACAGAGGAAGGAAATACCACAAGATTTCACCTATATGTGGAATCTAAAGAACAAAATAAATGAACAAACAAAACTAAAACAGACTCAGAGAGAACAACCTGATGGTTGTCAGCGGGGAGGGGGTTTACCAGACTGGTTGAAAAGTTGAAGTGGCCCTGGCTGATGTGGCTCAGTGGACTGAGCTCCAGCCTGTGAACTGAAAGGTTGCCAGTTCGATTCCCAGGCAGGTCAAGTGCTTGGGTTATAGGCCAGGTCCCCAGCTGGGATCACGCAAGAGGCAACTGACTGATGTATCTCTTGCATGTTGATGTTTCTCTCCCTTTCTCCCTCCTGTCCCCTCTCTCTAAAAGTAAATACATAAAATCTTTAAAAAAAAGATGAAGGGATTAAGAAGTACAAACTGGCAGTTATGGAATAGTCATGGGTATACAAAGTACAACATAGGGAATATAGTCAATAACAGTGTAATAACTGTATGGTGCCAGGTAAAATGTCAGGGAGAACACTTTGTAAAGTATATGTCTGCCTAATCATTATGCTGTACACCTGAAACTAATACAAAATAATATTGAGTGTAAAGTGTAATAGAAAAAATTTAAAAATGGAGGCCCTTCACTTAATATGACCGTTTTCAACAGTTGAGATGCCTTACAGGTCTTTTTTAAAGGAAAACGTAAGATACATACAAGCCACATTATCCGAATCATGGATATGTACAGGAAAACATTCTTAAAATATTTTGCAAGTCTCTGGTTTTAAAGTGTACATCACTTTTTTATGGCATTACAAGTAGTTTATTGTAATGCCATAAAAAAGTTTACTGCTTTCTGTATTCACCTTTCATTGACACTGAAGAGTCTACATGGCTTACTCATTTTCAAAAATTAAGCACCTTTTTGTTATAACACTGTGGAATTAAATAAATAGGGTCATAAGAAGGAGGTAGTGGAGATAAGATAAACAAAAATCAAGAGATCTGAGTGACAGTCTCAGTTTTGCCAATGATTTACTGGGTGACCTTGGATCAGCTCTCTTCTTAACTCTAAAATGAAGTTTTCAGTACAGAAAATTCCTAGATCCCTTCCAAGGACAATATTTTGTTGCCATATCGACGTACCGTTAATGATTTAATAGAGATGATGTTGGTAATTATGCCAAAGACTGTATAATTGCAAGTATTCCCAGGAAACCTGGTATTTGCCCCTAAGTTTTAGGTTCTATGGGGCTTTAAATTAGGGTAAAATATGGTTCTTCAAAGATCTAAACACAAATGTGTATTTGGAAATGCTAGTTTCTGCTTGAGGAGAACGGCTCTCAGAATGCGTTTTCCCAGTAGATGTTACTCTCCTCCCACGTTTCTTAGGTGGCCAGACCGCATTCAGAAGGCGCTCCGAGGCTCCGTAAAGTGCCACCAGCCAATAAAACAGAATGGTTTTCACTGCCACTCCCTTGAATGGTTTTCACTGCCACCTCCTTCCCCTTCAGCTGTTCTGGAGCCTGATAAGAAAGCTCCAGAAGCAGCTGACCCGGCGTCTGACAAATGCACGAATTTCTGTATTACAACAAAATGCAGACACCCGGTCTTGTTCGGTTCTTCAGAGCAAGGGCGGCGGGATCTAGGTTTTCCACATTTCTAATAAAAGTTAAAGAAGTGTGTAGCCATCTCCAGTTAGGAACAGTCTGAAAGCACCTATGTAAGCCCCGGCTTCCATTCTTGGACCCTCTGGGTTCCTGTCTGGCCACTCCGAAACCACCGCCCACCTCTTCGCGCCCTTGGTGGCGACCGCCCTGCCCCTGTCCCGCAGTTGCCAGCCAGCTCTAACCTCCTCGAACTGCTCGCCGGAGCAGCCGGCGCCGCGAGCCTCCAGCAGTTCCCGGAACTGCTCCAGGGTGACGGACTCCTCGCCGCGGCCCAGCCGCTCTTCCAGCCAGCGTAACAGCGCGCCGTGGTGCCGGGACACCAGAGACTCGCAGGGCGGCGAGGGCCGCAGCGCAGCCGCCGCCTCCCGCAGCCTGGCGGGCTCCAGCAGCGCCGCGGCCGGTGGCAGCACCGGGGCGGCAGGGCCCGGGCCGGGGGTCATGCGGGAATCCGCGGCCCAGTCCTGGTGCGGGCCCCAGCTCTCGCCCCCCGTGGCTGCCGCTTCGTCTTCACTGCTGTGACTCGGAGCGTTCCCCATGGGGTCTCCGTCTCGGGCGCACCGGCTCTGCCGCCGCCGCCGCCTCCTCCCCGCCTCGACCTGTCAACCTCAGACAGTACCCGGCGGGCGGGGACGGGGAGGGTACGGCGGCGGCGGCTTCCGACTTCCTCGCCGTCAAGCGAGGATTGCTGTCGCTAAGGAGCCGTCAAGCGGACTCCATCCGCTGTCGTGAGACAGACAGCCTCAGCAAAGGGTGGAACAACGAGTTACTTGAAGGCGCAGCTGTCCTGTCGTCTGCGTCATCTCGCAGCCTCCTCTGCCACCATCTTTGTTCGGGGCGGACAACCTGCAAGCCCAGAAGGCCTTTTGCTGTTCAGTTCCTGGGTATCCTTCCACGTTCACTAGCTGTGCTGAAAAAGTACGAGAAATAGTCGGAGCCCCGGAGTGAGCTTTACCAGACTTTTTCCTTTTAGTCATTTCAGTGATAGGCGGACAAGGGAGAGCGTAGCGCCGGTGACGTCGCAGCCAGCGTCTCCGCCATCTTAGTTGTGGGCGGAGAGGCGGCTATCGCGAGAGCTTGGAGAGTGTTCCTAGTCTAAATGCTGCGGCTCGGCGGGCGCGGACTCCTACTGGGCTTGGCCGCGGCGGCGGCTGCAGTGGTGGCAGCACGGCTGATGGGCTGGTGGCGGCCCCGTGCTGGCTTTCGCCTTTTGATACCCGAGGAGTTGGCCCGCTACCGCGGCGGCCCTGGGGACCCAGGCCTCTACTTGGCATTGCTGGGCCGCGTCTACGATGTGTCCTCTGGCCGGAGGCATTACGAGCCTGGAGCTCACTATAGTGGCTTCGCAGGTATTACAGAGGCGGCTCACGCCCTTACTTGCTCCCACGCGGGCGCGTAGCCGCCTGCGTGGCATTTATTCATTAATTCATCTGCTTTTTCCCCCTCACATTCATCAGAGCAGCACGGGGGCCGGGCGCAGTTGCATGTTCCTTTCTAGTCTCTGACTCGTAGCCAGCTGTTACTGGCTTCTATTGTCCTCGTCGTTTCCCATCGTTCTTCCTGACTTACCATGGAGAAACGTCTCCTGCCTTTTGTCAGTTACCCATTACCCACAGGCAGAACCCCCCGGAGGGATACCTGCTTTGTGCCACACTGCGTGGTTCTCAGGGCATAGAGATGAATGCCAGTCAGCTCATTATGTCCGGATCCAAGTTTCTCCCCACCCAACTTCCCCCTAAAAATAGTACATTGGTTTGTGTAGTTCTTGCTTCCAGTACAGATGCACTTGTCTGCCTTTCTTAAAAAAGATTATGAGGTTAGAGCGCAAAGGAATCTGGTCACTTTTACAGTCCTTCATTATGTTAGGCTTCAAAGAACACTTGTCAGATGAAGCTTATTCTACTGACCCTATTTTACATTTGAGGGGATTAAAGGACGTAATTTGCTCAAAGCCCTCACAATTAATTACTAACAGGACTTGGGCTAAGACCACCAGTTTATTACCAGCCCAGAGGAATGACCATCTCCCGGATTAAAAGAAAAAAGTGCATAGCAAGTTAAGGCCAGTGACTAGGCTGATAAATAAGCCTTTTCCACTTATCATTCATTATCAGGGAAATTGGAAAGCTGCTTCTGGTACTTACGTAGGCATCACTACCCTGTCTTTAGAGAACTTTGGAAACAGAAGCATAGGCAGAAAGGAATTAAGTTTAGTTGGTGTTGCCAAGCTCCTCAATTTGCCAGGGAAGGGATTTACCAAGGGCTACACAGTGAGTTAGAAGTGGAGCTGAGACTGGAATCAAGAGTTTTATTTTATTTGCTGGGAGAGCATGCTTATTGGTACACTACCCTGCCCCGGCCTGATGCAGCTGCCATGGCCATATCCACAGTGTGAGCATAAAACCCTGCATTTCTGGGGTGATGTTTCTTTCGTAGTGTGCTCTACTGTTTGCTGAGTTCCTTCATGCCCACTATTCATTCAACACCCATTACTGACCACTGCCACATAGCCTGTCTCATGCCAGGTGCTGCGAAACCAAAGATTATAGCATGCTCCCCACCACCCACAGTCTAGTAGAGAAGCAGATTTATTAAATTCATTTATTCATTTGTTCGGTCAATGTTTTTATTAAGGTATAATTCATATAAAACACACCCCTTTAACATGTATAATTCACATGTATAATTAACATGGTTTCTAATATTGTCACAAAGTTGTGCAAACATCACCACTATCTAATTCCAGAACATTCTTACCACCCCTCAAAAGAAACCCCATATCCACTAGCAGTCACTCCCCATTCCCCTCTGTCCCCCAGCGCCTGACATCCACTGTCTACTTTCTGTCTTTAAAGATTGTCTATCCTGGGCATTTCATATATACGGGGTCATACATGCAGCCTTTGGTGACCAGCTTATTTCACTGAACATACTGTTCTCACGGTTCGTCCATTGTGTATCGCCCTGTGTCAGTACACAATTCCATTTCATGCTCAAATACTATTCCATGTACGATATGCCACTTTTGTTTAGTCGTCATTTGTTGGAATTTGGCTTGTCTCCACTTTTGCCTATTACAAATAATGCTGCTATCAATATTCACCTGTAAGTTTTTGTGGGCATGTTTTCCATTTTCTTGGGTATTTACCTAGGTATTTACATAGAATTGCCAGGTAACTCTATGTTTAACTTTTTGAGAAGCTTCCATATTGTTTTCTAAAGTGGCTGCACTATTGTGCATTCTCACCATCAATGTTTAGAGTTTCAATTTCTCTACATCCTCACCAGACTCATTGGCTGCCTTTTTTTGTCTTTTTGATTATAGTCATTTTAGTGGGTTTGAAATGGTATCTCACCCTGCCTGGTATGGCTCAGTGGACTGTGTGCTGGCCTGCAAACCAAAGGGTCGCAGGTTTGATTCCTAGTCAGGTCCCCATTAGGGGGCACATGAGAGGCAACCTCACATTGATGTTTCTCTCCCTCCCTTCCCAAATAAATAAATAAATAAATAAATGCTTTTAGAAAAATACTAGCATCCTCCATTGAAGGTATATCTTTAAAAAAAAATAAAAAAGAAAGATGGTATCTCATTGTGGTTTTGATTATTTGAATTTCCCTAATAACTAATGGTGTTGAGATCTTTTCATGTGCTTCTTGATCACTTGTATATCCTCCTTGGATAAACGTCTATTCAAATTCTTTGTTCAGATTTTAATTGGGTTGTCTTTATTGTTGAGTTTTGAGAATTCTTTATATATTGTGGATACCTATATTTGATTTGCAAATATTTTCTCCCATTCTGTAGGTTGTCTTTCATTTTCTTGATAGTGTCCTTTAAAGCACAAAATTTTAAATTTTGATCAAGTTCAATTAATTTTTTCTTTGGTGTCTTGTGCTTTTGGTATCCTAAGAAACTATTGCCTAATCCAAGGTCACAAACATTTATACCCATTTTTCTTCTAAGAGTTCTATAATTTTAGTCCATGCATTTAGGTTGCTGATCTATTTTGAGTTAATTTTATATATGGTATAAGGAAGGATCTAATTTAATTCTTCTGTATGTGGCTATTCAGTTGTTCAAGCATCATTTGTTGGAAAGACTGTTCTTTCCCTCTTTGAATTGTTTTGACACTCTTTTTTGAAAATCAGTTGGATTTTATTCAGTCAATAGTTATTGAAAATTTAATAAAGAACAGGCACTACCAGGCACTGAGCAATCAATACTAAAGGAGTTTGATGTTTCCCTTATAAAACCTGTAGACTAGTAGAAAAGACAAACATTAAATAGGCATCATGTAAACAATTAATGAATTATTTTTTGATGAGTGTTATAAGGAAAACATATTGCTGTTACCAGCGGCCAAGGAGCACAGAGGCAAGGCAAGGCTGGTGGCAGCTGGTGCAGAGTCCTGAACGGCATGTTATAGAACTTTGACATTGTCAGAGGGCAAAAGGAAGCCACTGATAATTATTAAGCAAGAGAATGACATGATCAATTTGTGTTTAAAATAATCAATCTAAGTGTTGTATGGAAAATAGGTGAGTGGGGATAGACCAAATGTAGAAAGAACTGCCAGGGGTTTACTGTAGCAGTTCAGATGACAAATGGTGACAGCCTAGGCTTGCCTAGTGGTAGATGGAGAAAGGTAGACTGATACAGGAACTATTTGGGAAGAAATTACGGGACTTGGGGACTGATTGGATGTGAGGAATGAAGGAGATGTGAAGAACTGCCTTTCTGGATTCAGTGACTGGTTTATATTCGCCGAGACAGGGAACACTAGACTAGATGCATGTTTTTGGGGCTGGGGTGACCATTAGTTCGGTGTGGACATTTTGAACTAGTGATGTCTGAGAGACACGTAAATGATGCTGAGTAGACAGTTGGATGTACAGGTCTGGAGCTCAAGAGAAGCCTTGGTCAGGATACGCATCGGGCAGTCTTTGGTGTAGAGGTGGTATGTGAAGCCACAGGAGTGGATGAGATTGTCAAGAGGAGGGTGTGGATGGAGTAGAGGAGATGGACAGTAATTGGACTTTGAGGCTAATAGAAGAATGAGCTAGAGAGGGGGGAGGAAAACCAGGAGTGCAGTGTCATAGAAGCCAGCCAACATGGTCAGCTGTATTAAACGTTGCTGAAAGTAAATGAAAGAATGTGATAAATGCCAAAATGTGTGTCCACAGTCCACCAGCATCCATGACAGAGGAGGGGATTATATTTGCTTGGGGTGGAGAGTGGGGTTTTCAGCCGTTTCTCAGAAAATAGATTCTTGAGTTGGAACAGCATCAGTGATTTACGAGCTGACCTACTGGAAACACCTCTCCTGCAGGCCGGGACGCATCCAGGGCGTTTGTGACAGGGGACTACTCTGAAGCAGGCCTTGTGGATGATGTATCTGACTTGTCATTTTCTGAGATGCTGACCCTTCAAAATTGGCTGTCATTCTACGAGAAGAATTATGAATTTGTTGGTAGGTATTCCACAAGTGATTTCCAAAGATTTCACTTAGTTTTCTTGCAAGTTTTCAAGGGACTAAAATTCTTTGGGGCTTTGGACTCCAGATTAAAATCTGAAAAATAACCATGGACTTTTCACCTTAAACTCCGGCTGTTAGTGTGGCAGTGAGTCCTAGAGGGAAATGGCTGGGGCACCCATCTCCCTCCCTCTTAACCTTGGGAGAGGATTGCCTGCCTGTTGGCCTCTCTTGCCCCACAGCCAGCAGGTGCTGGCACCACCCTGAACCACCAGCTCTCCAGGCGCATCTTCCCTGTCTCCTGCGTCCTGGGCATCCAGCTTCAGCACACGGGAAGGCTTGAAGCCTAAGTTTGTGTGCAGTTTTGACAAATGTCCTTTTTATTTTGTCCTCTAGGGAGACAAACATTACCTTGTGTCCATCCTGAATGAATTGTGTCCCAGGTGGAAGTTTTGCTCATCAGCAGTTGTTAAAGCCAGTTGTGTAGGGCAGGGGTCCCCAACCTCCGGGCCGTGGACTGGTCCTGGTCCTGGTCCGGGCCTGTTAGGAACCGGCTCACACAGCAGGGGGTGAGCTTGAACCATCCCCAAATCATTCCCTCTACCCCAGCCTATGGAAAAATTGTCCATGAAACTGGTCCCTGGTGCCAAAAAGGTTGGGAATTGCTGGTGTAGGGCACTGTACTTGCTACTTACTGGTGAGACATGGGGGAACTGACCTTTTAAAGGGGAAGACACTTACCAGTGTCCTAAGGAAGTGTGAGTCCCAGCAACTGGGTAGCTAGGGTCCCCTGCAGGCCCGACAGCTCACTGGAGCCCCGCTTGGACACCGCCGACTTTCCCCTTTGGAACAGGTCTGCATTGGAGGAGTTCTTTCTCTGCCCCTGACGTCTCTAAGTGACTGCTCCTGTCATTACTACTTGGTTTACCTTTTCTGAGAATCTTGCCATTTTTACTATTGCCTCTGCTCCCTCCACATCCAGTGCCATGGCTGTTTTCATGACTTGTCGAGTTCCATCTTCATCCCCACGCCCATCCACCATTGTTGGCCTTTGTCAGCCCAACCTGTAGGACCCCTGCTTGGTTTCCACCCGGTCTGCCCCAGTTCATTCCGAGACCACAATCATGTCTGCCACTGAAGGACCGGCGTCTACCCATCTACCTTTCAAGAGGCTTGGTTCTCCCTTTTTCCCGTGAGGTTGGCAAACCAAGGCTGAAACATTACTGGGTTAATAAGGAAAAGAAACCCCAACACAAAAGAGTAAGAATGGAGTCCTTTGAGTGGGCAAAGTGTTGTAACAGTGTAACGTGGGGGTGGGGGAAGGTGGGGGAGTTGTATAGTTGGAAATGCTTCCAACTAAGGATTTTAGTTAAAGTCGGGATATACCGAGTATCTGCTATGGATAAGCTACAGGTCTAGTCCTCGTGGGGACCAGGGAGGAGCTGAGTGCAGTTCCTGCCCTCTGTTGGCCCATTCTCTTGGGGGTGGGGGTTGTGTCAGGCTCGCTCAGGGCACCAGAAAGCCTCAGGACACATCAGAGGATGAAGGTGTGTTATCTGGGTGCACACTGACGTGAAGACCACCAGAAAACCATCTTGGCAGCCACATGGCCAGGCCTCAAGGGAAAATGGGGAGATGTGTTTTGTCATTTTCTGGATATAGCACTGGCTTGGAGACCCTGCCCGTGGTGACCACCCTTCTCATGACACACCTGCTACAGCTCTGTCTGTTGCCTCTACCACTGCTGCAGTCTCTTCAGGTCTCATGTCTAAAGTCACCAAAACAACCTTGTCACCATGCATACAGGGGCCCTGTGTAGGAGAAATTCTTGTGCCAGGCCAACGAGACTGGAGGCCTGGGACTAGGCCCTGAGCCTTTCATTTATTCTCACAAGCGCTTACAGTGAATGCTCGGTACTAAGCTGTTTGGAGTGCTGGGGCCTCAGGGTAGGGAGAGATAAAAGTAAGTAAACATATCAGACAAGTCCAGATAGGGCTGTGAATAAAATAAACTTCATGAGATGCATGTTGGGGGGTGGGTGGCACCTTTAGAGAAGTTGGCCAGGGTGCTAGGTCTCTCGAAGGAGGTGGCAGTTGAGCTGAGACCTGGAAGGTGAGAAGGAGCCAGCCACCCTGAGATCTGGAGAAGAGCTTTTCAGCCGAGGGGACAGTAGTACCCGAGGTGGGGAGCACGGAGGGGACATGGTATTCATGTTTTCAAGTGATTACCCAGCTGCTCTGTGGAGAAGGAACTGTGGGAAGGGATGAGCTGAAGGAGACACGAGCCGGGAGGCCACCGTTGTAATCCATAGTGTAGAGCAGGGCAGTAGCAGTGGAACATGGAAAGACTAGACAGAGTCAGTGTTTTTTAAAGGTCAGACTGACAAGACTTGCTAATGGATTAGACACAAACAAATGGAAGCATGCACTGGATGTGAAGGAGGTGGCAGCAGAGAGATCTAAGGCTCCTAATCCAGAAGTGACATAAATACAGTTGGCAGTCTGCAGAGGGAGCTGAACTTGAGAGGATGAACTGAATCGTGGGTGCACTGAGTGTAAGTGCCGCTGGAATCTAAGTCAGTTCTTGGGGACTGAAAAGGTTGGGCAGATGTGGCTGGGGCAGGTATACGCTGCTGCCTCCTACCTGGTCAAAGCTCCTAGAAGTGCTTTCTGCTGCTTCTCTTGCCCTGTGAAGGCCACTTACGCTCAGGTCTTGGAGATGAAAGTTCCTGCACATAAGGAGAATTGAGCCCTTTTTGACTTTACCCTATAGCCTCTCTGACCACTTGCCGTTGCCTTAGCTTAGACCTTTACAAACTCCAGGAGGGATTTTATCTCAATCCAGTTTCCACTCACTATGTCCACCAAGAGACTGAGCAAGAGAACAGTGGAGGAGAGAACACACGCCTGGGGTCAGACCCACTAGTTCTGTGGGCCCTCCCCTTCCACTGTGAATGCGGGAACAATGGCTACTGTCTCACAGGTGGTTATGAGGGTTAATAAAATATCAGTGAAGTGCTAGCATAGCACTTGACACTGAGGAAATGCTCAGTAAGTGACTCATTTATAGTTGGCTGAGACAGAACTTTTCAGTATTAGGAATTGAGCCACAGAAACGTTACACAGTAAGCCATTTATCTGTCAATCAATCACTGAGGCACCACATGCCTCAAGCACGGTGGGGCCCTGAGAAATGAATCGCACACGGTTCCACTCTCAGGGACTGATGTCTGGAAGTGAGACAGTTTATGGTTTCCTCACCAGAAGCCTCACAGCTACAAAAGGGATGCTTCTGTGTGGAGTCTCGTCAGATGTTGAGAGACGCCAGGACAGAAGGTGCCATAAGTCCCTCCAGTGTGGGTTCCTAAGATGCAAGCACCGAGCAGGCCACCGTGGAGCCCTGAAATCAGAAACCGTGGGAACTTGAGTATGACAGCCACTGCTTGAGAAGCTAAGCCTCTCCCTGATGCCGCTCCCTACCGATGTTACTGACATTCAACTTTCCTGTCACCACAGGAAAGGTTATAGGAAGGTTCTATGGAGAGGATGGGCTACCTACCCCAGAACTGACCCAGGTGGAAGCCAAGATCAGCAAGGGCTTGGAGGCAAACACACGGGCACTGGAAGAGAAGCACAAGTTTCCACCATGCAACGCGGAGTGGAGCTCAGCCAGGGGCAGCCGGTTCTGGTGCTCCCCAAACAGGTACACGGGCTTCCTGCTGCTGCTTTCCGTCTCTCTCCCACCAGCTTCTAGGTCATCATGTTATTCGGTGAAGCCAGAGGTCGATTGTTAACCCAGGGGAACTTTGTCAAAATACATGTGCTTTGGGGCAGTGATTCTCTCCTTTGGCTACATGTTAGAATTGTCTGGGCAATTAAAAATGTCACCAATAGTGGCTCTTTACTCCAGGCAACTGGATGAGAATCGTAGGGTTGAGATCTGGGCATCTTTTTTTTCCCCCCAATTTTTTAAAATTCCCCAAAGACCCTGCTGAAGAAGCCCTGGCCTGGGAATGCAAAGGCACAAGTACTGTTTCTTCGCTTGCTTTGGCCTGTTCATACAGCCGAGGGCTTCGGTTTCCTATGTGTCAGCATAGAGTATTCCTGCCTATAAGAGGCAGGTGAGGAGGTGGGCATGGCCACTTGCAGTGATGCCAAGGTGCTGTCCTAAAGACCCTGCAAATCCTGAGTGATTCCAGGAAGCACAGGCTAGATGGAGAAGCCCTTTCCTGTAAGAAGGAATTGAAGTGGGCCAGGTTAGAACAGATGCCACGGGGATCATTCCAGGTTGGTTCGGGGAAGCTGGAGAGAAAAAAATGTCTGTTTTCATCATCAGGCCAGCCCGCATTCAAATACAGCTCAAATCCCTCAAATCTCCTTCAGCTCTGACAGGGGGAAAAGGAAGGCAGAAACTGACAAACTCCTCAGCCTCAAGGGCCTCAAAGAAAGAGCCCAGCTTTCCCTCAGAAGGGGCAGAAGACCTGCTGTTGCTTAGCAGAGAAAGGCCATTCCTCTGAGTGCTAAGTTGTGTAGATCCACCCTCTTCTGCCGGGAGAGACCATGCCTTTTGCTCTCCTTGGGCTGATTCCTTGTGTGGGTGAGTGTCAAAGCCACCAGCCACCGTATCCATCACACACTTCCTCTGCCTTCACTCAGGGAACCAGGGGTGAGAGCAGCAGGAAGGAGAGCCCCTGCTCTCCTGGCCACCAGTTTTGAAGAGACAATTTATCACGTTCCCCATGTTATCACATCTCCCGAAAGCAGGGCGCTGCGAGAACCCGGCCTGCCCACATCAGGGAGAGGAGCTAGGAAAAAGTTGGGCCTTGCTGGGCTGCAAGCCTGAAAGCAGGTGGCTTTTGAGAGCACTGGTCCTCTGTGGGAGGGACTGAGAGACTTGTGTGCGTTTTGATGCTTGACTTTGCTGGCTTGGAGAGCCTACCCTCCTCTGTGGCCCCACAGCCCTCATCTCTGTCTTTGTGTAACCCCTTCTTGCTTTCACAACTGAATTGCTTAGGCTCGGCCTTCCCCACAAAGCTCTTCCAGATCAGCCAGCTCCAAGGAGTCTGGCGCTAACCCTGTGCCTCGGCACACTCTGTGGTTTTCTGCACCTGTCTCTTCAGACGGACGGGGAGAAGCAAGCCCCTGAGGCAGGGACTGGGTGTGGAGGAAGGCTCACCGTCGGTGGGATGGATGGTTGGAAGGAAGGAGGGAGGTATGTTAGTACCTTTCCCTAACAGCCTTGCTCTTGGGTCAGTTCCAGGTGGGTTGGCTTCTAACTGGGTGGCAGTTTCTCCAACAGCAGGTGACTCTGGGCCCAAGCACTGGAACCCATATGGGGTATCAATTCCAAGAATATCTTTTTCCTTTTGCAAGGCTTGTGAGTCCGTGGGAGACTGAAACAGTACCCTAAGATGAGTCAGGTCCCTCTGCCCAGGACAGGAGGTTGCTCAGGCTGTGTTGGATCAGGTGACATCAAGGAATGTGCCTGTGCAAGGGGCAGGAAGGGCCTCTCAGAGAAGGCTGACTATCAGGCCTTGTGTTGTGCCTCAGTTGTCCACCCCTGCCCAAGTGCCGAAGACCCCGAGACCAAGACAGCCCAGCTCTAGGATATAGCGGGGAAGGGAGGAGAGAATCAGAGCCCAACACTGCTTTTGAGAAGCCCACAGGCCAGCGGGAAAAAGCCTTTCTTGGGTGTTACCACCCATGCAGGGAGCGCTGCCTCCCAGGCAGCCACAGGGAACAGGGGAGGCAGAAGGAAGTCAGGAGAGCACCGAGGTTCAGGGGCTGAACACAGCAGACCGCCACCTCTGGAAGATGTCAAGATAGCAAGTGGAATCACCTCTACTTTTCACCGGGCTTGGCTCACTGCTTCCTCCTCTCCCTTTCCCAGACAGACTCACAAGTTCATGCTTCTAAGAAGTGCCCCCCTTTCCTTTTGTCTTCAGTGGAGGTGTGAGCAGAGACTGGACTGGCGTCCCCAGGAAGCTGTATAAGCCAGGTGCCAAGGAGCCCCACTGCGTGTGTGTGAGAACAACTGGCCCCCCTAGTGACCAGGCGCTGGACAACCCTGCACACAGAAATCGTGGGGACTTGGATCACCCCAACTTGGAGGAATATACAGGCTGCCCACCCGTGTCCATGGCATGCTCCTTCCCACTCTAAGTTGGTGCCCTTGACTCATGGGCCCTAGGATGGCCCCTGACATCAAACAAGTGGGCCCAGAGGGACCAGCCTCTGCAGATGTGACCCACGACCCCTCACCATGGGCTCACCCTTCTGGTGACCTAGGCGAGAACTTGGCAACCTGCCTAGTACTGGTCAGCCTGGTTTTGTCACTATTCCCCTAGATCTATTTGCCATCCTCCTTCAGAGCCCTCAAATACGAATGGGCACTAATACGACCAACCCTGAATTAACTGGACAGATGAGCAAAGGGTTCTGAGCTCCAAGAACTACCCACAGACTCGCAGCCTGCCCAGATCAGCTGCTGGCCTGGTGAGTGGCACTAGCAAAGAGGGACTGAATCATTCATTACAACTCAGACACAGGACAATACATCCAGAAAAGACAAAATAATAATAAATAATGATTATTATAATAAAGAACAGCACCAACCTTTCTTATATGTGAGACTTCCGTAAGGCAAACTGAATCTATAACCAAGAGCTGCGCTGAGTTGGTGTGAGTTGGGCCACCCCAGTGGGAGGTGACAACGAAAGAGAATGGATTGTTTCTGGGGGTTGGAAACGTTTTTGCTCATATGGATGCAGCAAATCCACATGCCTTTTTTAAAGCAAGGATATTGTTTCTCTTTTAAACACTTAACATTAGGTGCGGTGTGTTTTCAAAGGGAACACTGCATTTTTGACAGGTGTTTTAGAGCTCTTACAAGGTAACTGGTTAGCACAACAGCAAAGTTTGGGCAAGGCTGCCAATGCAAACAGCCTCAACATGAGGTGGCTGGGCTTGCAGCTTCTCCGTGGGTGGTGTCCACAGTCATCTGTAATCTACCCTTGACAAATTTCATATCCATTACCTCCTGGCTTCTTAACTGGTTAAGTAGAAGGGGCGAGGGTATTCCTGCTTTACAGATAAGGAAATGAAGCCTCATGTTTTACACACTCCTGGTCTCCTCATCTGAGCCTTCACCTCAGCTTCTTTCACAATCCCCTCACCTCTTATTTACACAGTCTGCATCCTTTCTTTCTCTCCTGTATCATTAACCTCAGTAAACAGCTTTCCAGATTCCCTGACCAGGAAATGGAGGCCGCCTCCCCTCCCAGGCTGTCACTGCCCTTGTGGCTACAGCTGTTCCTGATACCAGACTCTGCTCTCAACTCCTTTTGCCTCCCCAGATCTTCACTTGCCCTTCCTGGACCTTTGGCCTCTCCCTGCCTCCTGGCTCACTCCCCCCACATCATAAATAGAACACTCCCTCAGTAACACCGAGTTCTGCTGTAGCACTATCTATTCCTGTCACACATAAACTTTTTGAAAAAGCTGTAGGTACTTGCTAGGCTTCCTGCTCAGCCCCACTGCCTGGCCCCTGCCCTTCCCTGCTCACAGCACACATTCTGTATTGGCAGCTCCCGTGGCACGTTTCCTTGAAAGCCACCTCTCCTCAACTACCCCCTCCCACTCTAGTCGTCTCATTCCCACCTCAGCTACCCTGTAGACTCTAGTCCAGACGCCTTCCCTGAGCATTTCTGTAGGCACCTCAGCGCCACATTTCTGGCATTCTCTCCGCCTTCTCTCGTGATTCTGCAAGTTCCCCTGGTGATGGCCCCACCAGCACCATCTACACCCAGCTGCACCAGGTAGGAATCCTTCCTCTCCTGTCCCCCTCCTCCCAACCGTCTGCACTTCTGGTCACTCCACCTCCTCAGTTTGCTCCCTCCGATCCCCAGCCCACCTCCTCTGATTTAGGCTGTCCTCTCTCACCTGGATTACTGCAGGAGCCTAACTCTGCTCCCTGCCTCCAGCCCAGGCTCCATACCACTGGGAGCCGTCCTTCACGGTGATGGGGCAGTTCCCCATTTAAACCTCTTCTGTGGCTCACCCTATCTACAGGGATCGAGTGCTGACTCTTTAGCAGTGTGGCACATGAGGCTCTGCTGTGGTTTGTCTCCTCTCAGCTTTGATTCTGCCTGCCCACCGTTCGCTCCAGCCTGCACCTCACTGCCTTGTGCCTTCTTCATTCAGGCTCTTCTACCTGAAATGATAGCTCCTCCTCTGTTCAATTGGTTCACCTCTTACCCTCAAAACTCAGCTCAGTCAGCACCACTTGGGAGCTTTTATTAACCACTGGCCCACCAGTTGGATTTATTTTTTAAAGATTGTGTTTATTTTTAGAGAGAGGGAAAGGGAGAAATAAAGAGGAAAAGAAACATGGATTGATCACCTCTCCTAGGTGCCCTGACCTGGAACCTAACCCGCCACCTGGGCATGAGCCCTGACTGGGAACCAGTGACCTTCCACTTTGCAGGGTGACACCCAACCAACTGAGCCACACTGGTCAGGGCCCACCAGTTGGATTCAGATGCACTTCCCCCTAGGTTCCCATGACATGCCCATGTGTTCACTCCTCCTATAACAAGTACCAGTGTTCTGTAACCATGGGTTTCGTGTCAGCTCTCACACTGCACTGCAGACTCTTTGAGAACAGAGGTCAAGGGTTCCTGGGTTCTGTACCCCAGTAGCCACAGTACCTAGAGTACATGGTAAGTGTGCAGCTCCAGAAACTTAGTAAGGGCACAAAGCAATGGAGCTGAGCCTAGAACCCAAGGTTCCTGTCCTGATTCGGTGCCATTTTCACTCCATAGTTCAGTATGTCTCTGTCCTCCCTGGAGCAGGAGCGAACAGAAAGAAGGGCCCAGATTAGAACCTTGTTCTTCGTTCCATACGGCCCTTGAGCTCAGCCCCTGCCTCAGGCATCCCTGGTCATTGGAAGCAGCTTCCAACTCCAAGCTAACTGGGAACTGGTCACTGCCACTACTCTCCTCATCCTTAGTCACAACAAATACAGGGTCCAACACAAATAACGCCGCTTTTTATCACAAAATCTTTTACTACGAAATCATAAGCATGTAATTCTGTAACATAACAGTATCACACTCAAGCACACCATGACATTTTATGTGCAATGTTCAAAGTATAGATTATTACAACCATATTATTACCCTAGTAACCACACTGAAGCAGGAGTTACTTCTGCCAGACCCTGTATTTACCAAGCCCCTCTGTGCCATGGGATGAGGGATGAGAGGAAAGTGAGGCTCCTGACCTCAAGGAGCTCACAGTATGGTAGAAATGCAGGGAGTGTGGGGGCCAGGTCGAGATGCTCAGACCCTTCCAAAAGCAAACAGAAAAAGGAGCAAGACCACGGCACCCTTCGAGTCCTCCCAGCCTACTGTGGACTCAGGAGGCACTAGAAGTTGCCTGACCTCTGCCAGGTACAGGCACACTCAGCCAGCTGCAGCAGGCTGTGGATTCCTTGCTGAGTGAGAACTTTTCTCTTTGATGCCAACCACTCACATTATAGTAAAGAGCCTCCTCATGAAGGGGCAGTGGGGGAAACTTCAAGGGACTCAGCAAGAGCAGGCTGTCATTTCGGGGGTCTAAGGGCTTAGCCATGGACGGGAGTGGTTACTGGAGAAACTTCTTCCCTCCCCAGTGGAGGTGGTCCTGGGCAGTTTATGGAGGAGGAAGACAGTCCTCTGAGGAAAGCCACAGAGTTCAGCTCAGGCAATTAAGAGTTGCTGGTAGAAGGGAATGGAGAGAAAACATACATGTTGGGCACCTGTGCTGTGCAGGGAGCTTTAACATCCATGCCAGCATTGAAAGGGTCTCATTTTGTGGTCCAGAAAAGGGGCAGAAACCCCCCACTGCCCCTGGCCTTTGAATGGCCACAGCAGTCATTGCAGGGCAGAGCTTTCTACCCGAGACTGCTCCTCGGCCACAGCGCTGAGCGGTGTTAGAGCAAAGGCGGGTGGCTGCCCTCCAACACACTGGAGGAAATTGACATCTGCCTTTGAGTTCTGAGATACCAGTTTCCTATAAACACGGAGTTCAGAGTGAAGAGCCTGCGAGTTTTTGGTTACAGCTTAGCCATGGCATGACCGCACAGCCAAGGGCGCCATATCTGTCCATCACTCCTGTCTGTTGCTTGCTTAGCTCCAGGACAAGCTGTGATCTGCAGTGCCCCTCAGGGGTTGAACCTGGGCTTAACCCCCACCCTCGAGAGCACTGCCTACTGCCAGAGTCCCCAGATTCCTGTAAGTAGACAGCAGACATTGCTCCCGTCAGCCCTCGCTGGAGGAGCTCTGTGTGTGCACCAGAATCTGTGAGCTTGCATAAAAGGAAGGACACTAGTGGTCGTCTTCCTAAAGGCAATCCTGTGAGCTGAAAAGGACCACAGTCGTTTCCACTGTATAGATCCACAGACTAAAACACAGACTCAGTGACAAAGCAGAACTAAAGCCCAGTGCACTTCCCTGGCTGAGCAAAAATGTGTGAAAGTGGGAAATGTATGAAATAGGCTAGTTCCTATTTGTATTCCTGTACTGACATAATACGACCAGTGCTCACCTCAAGAATGGCTATTAGGATTACTTGGCAGCACCTGACAGTTCCTATAACCGTGAGGAAAGCCACCAGAGAATGAGATCTATCATCACAGCTGGTCTGAACTAGGGGTAGGCAAAAATGGAAGGCAGGTAAAGAAAGGGAAGACATTATTAGCTCAAAAAGTGAGGGCCAGATGAACTAGTAGATTTGTACAACTGTGCAGGGGCTTTGTGGGTCACTAGGTTTTAATCTTCGGGCCCCTAGACCTTCCTTAGCGTCCTGTGAAACCCACAGTGCCAGCCCTCCCTTCAGATGAAGACCAGCGGAAGACGCGCCATGCCTGGGTCCTCTCGGGTTGCTCCCCAGTAATGGAGTCGGAGAGGGAATTTGTGGGCTCCTTTGGTGAGTGCCAGTGGGGTCCAGTGAGGGAGACCATGCAGCTGTGATCATACACATTGCCGTGCTGAAGCCTGGGCCGAGAGCACAGTAAATCCAGGCAGCTGGTTATTAGTCCTAAAATAGCTACTTTTTGATGGCTGTCAACAATGTGTTTCTGAAAAGTGCTAGAAATTCAAGCTTTCCTGAAGAGTGGGTGGTAAAGAAATTAATCACGTCAGGAGTTTTAAAATTTGTTTGTTTTTAATGCGTATTGGTACTTCTGCGTGAAAAGTTAACTACAAATGTCTTATTAAAGTTTCCACTTTGCACAATTTTATCTCATTTTATTGTAAGGAATTGTTACAGAAAATGCAAATATCAGTATTTGAAAAATACATTCCAATACACGGACTCTAAAGATACAATGCTGATAAGCGCCATGGTCCTGTATGATGCCCTCACCCCACACTGAGCACCACCCCGAATGGCTTGAAAGCCAAGGTGACCAACCCAAATGTGCTCCTGCACTTTCCGCCCAGTTCCTGCCCTTTGCCTCGGTTACCTGCCAACTCTCCACATCTGCCAAAGAACAAATCATTAAGTCAAGCAGCCTGCCAACTTAAGACTTCCTCGCTACAGAAGACCAGTGTCGTCAGCTGTAACAGGTTAGTACATTATCTACTCCACACAGAAAGGAACCGTACAGGCAATGATCTAACAGAGTCTTTAAGGCATTTATGATAATGTCTGGGAATTTAATAGTGTTTAGTTAGTATCTTGTCAGACTATCAGCTCTTCACTGAATTACTTCCACAAGAGGAGAATGTGGCTTCCAAACCTCTTTGGAAAGTTGTTGCCCCTCTGCTTCCTCCTCTGCTCAGCGGGGAGTGGGGAGTGTTGGTACTTCTGATCACAAGGGCTGGGCTTGAATGCCCAGCTCTTCTGGGGTTTGTCCTGAAGGAAGCAATCCCAGGTCCCGGAAGGAAGCTTGTTCAGGAGCTCCTTCTCAATCTCAACCTGTGACTCCAAGTGGGTCTGTCCATGGAAGAGTGTACCTACTTGCTCAGGCTGTCACCTGGGGAGTTACTCTGCCTTCATGTCTAAGCATTACATAGTTCGACAGTTGTTCTTTTTCTCCAGATGAGAGACCCCGGGATGGAGATCAAGACTCTCCCCCTCTTAAGACTTCCCCTCCATTCCATGCCTACAGACAAGACCAGCACAATACTGTTCAATACAGCAGGCAGTGGGCATGAATTGGGAGCGGTGGTGGTCCCACAAGCACGCTGAGCTCCATGCAGGGACCCCATTCAGGGAGAAGAGTGAGGAAGCTGAACAGGGCAGTCAGAAGTGACTCAGGGCTCTGAGGTAGAGGACTATCAGTCACAGGGACCCCACTCTTGGAGAGAACATACCAGGTGAGCTGAGCAATCTGATCCAGCTTCCACTAAGTTGGTAATTGAAGTTGACAGTGCACAGGCAGCACACTCCCAATGGAACACGTGTTCTAGCACAGCAATCAGTGAGACACCACTACAAAGATAACCAACAATTTAAAAAGTCCTACATGGAGGCACTTAAGTTTGTGGGAAACTTCTGTGTTAGAGGATCATAGCAATTTAGCCATTGGATTTATATATAGCACATGGTTTATTCCTTCATTTTTTAAAAAAATTGTTAACACAAGAGACATTTAAAAAGCTAGTTCAGTGTAACAGTGTTGACTGATGCAGAAAATTATGTTTCAAGAAAGTTTATTCTTCCTGTTTTTATTCACAATTGATAATTTTCTGAATGAATAAAATTGAGTTTTTGCTACTAGTATTTGAGCTATGAATTAAAATTTAACAAGAACAGCTAGAGTTCTGTAGTCAAGTCTGGTCATCTTGGAGAGCACAATGGGGACTGAGAGCATGAGAAGTCCCAGCCCGGGCAGTGCACGGGAGGGCCACGGGGCAGCCCCGCTCAGGGAACCCGGGGAGCAGGGCCCAGGGGGCATCACCAAGGTCAGGGGCATTTCCCAAGGCTGTGGAAAGGTGCTTTCTCTAGGTCTACAACCACCTCAACACAGAGCACACACAACGTGCCCCTGCTCCGCGGCTGCTCGGTACCACAGCTATCCTCAACTCGGGAGAAGCAGAAGCATAACTCCACGTAGCTGCAACATGATTGTAAGTGCAATCAGAGGCAAGACTATTACTGAGGTTGGTATGGGAGGGCAGGGGCAGGACAGTCGGCCTCATCCCTGACTGCATTCCCATCCTCAGTCCACCACGAACATTAAACAAGTGTAAAAGTACCGGCCACCTCATTTCGTATCTGAAGCATAACCATCTTGCTTTACAGAACTAAAGAACCAAGCCGGCTGAGCCCTCCTTCCTTGTGGCTCTCTTCGGGCAACAACAGAAAATGGAAACTGACCACATGCCTCACGTGGTCAAAAGTTTGCCTACACTAGTTGTTTTTCTATAAAAATTCTGTAGGAAATGTCACAGACTTTTAGTTCCCCAACTCTTCTAATTTTTCTTTTAAACATTGTGCACAAGCTCATATTAACAGAGAAAGCATATATATCTTGTAAATCACAGGAATATTGAAAAAAAGTAGCACTCAGGTTTATCAACTCATTTTACACATATTTAGGCAATAGAATGTATAAATGTACAGCAACATGGAGGACATACCACTTTCCAAAAACAAACAAACATAAAAGCAGGCTATTGCAAAAAATATTTAGTCCCTTTTACACATATCCATACTTCATTAATGCAGAATGTAGTGGTTATTAAATGTCTGAAAAATCAGTATGTCTGATTGAGATTGTTAATCTCTGAGTACAACTACAACACATATTGTTCATCTCAGAATTTTTGTTTGTTTTCAAAGTAGTGGTAAAAGTTTCTTTTTAAATGTGTAGTTTAACCTCAGGGGTAATGTATGTACTAGCAACGACTAAGGCCCAGTAAGCTCTGGGACCTCCTTCAGCACCCACGCCAGAGCCTTCCCGAACCAGGTCACACATGTCTGGCCAGGGTTTCAGCTGCTGGCTCTTATGGGGCAGGGCAAGCTCCACAGAACTGGGACCTGGGACCAACAGCACTCACAGCATAACTAGGGAAGGTTTCAGCAAGAAGCATTCATGTCAAGGAGATGGGACCTTCCAGCCTGAGGCTGGGGACCCCCCCTTCTCATCCCTTGGCCTGTGTGACTCTCTTGCTCCAAGTGACACTCTGCAGGAGCTTCTCTGTTAAGACTTAGTGTGAGCTGAGTTCCAGGTAAAACTGATCAGCAGAATCACTGATGCATGGATGTACTTTCTGAGTATGGGTTTTTACATTGGAATCACCAATAATGAAGCTATATAAAAAGTGCAGCACAATAAAAGTGCATTTCCCCCACCACTCCCTAGTGGCAGAGCAACGGAGGTCCACAGACAGGACATGGCAAGATGAGAGGAGGGGACGGCTGCTAGGAGGTGTCAAGCTGTCCAACCGTACTAATGACACCCGAGTAGCATGAACACTAGTAAAGCTTTCAGTTGTTAAGGCCACAATGTTTCAGCTCCCATCTTTGAACCCTGTTTAGAAAGATTTCACCTTTTTTTAAAGGGGTAGCTCACTATAAATACAGCTTAGCTTTCTAAAAATAATAATAATAATAATGAAGATTTCAGGGTAAGAGGATCCTATAATCTTTATGAAAACACCGTGCAGACAAGTCCAAAGCCACTTACCCTAGAGTAAAGCCAGCTCTCATGGAGCAGCCAGGCGCCAGCTTCCTATTGCTAGGCTCTGCCTAGGAAGTCCAGCCAGGTGGGAAGACTTCATAAACGCTCTGAGATGGACAGGAGGCTACTGGGAAGGAAAGTGGTTTTCAAAGTGTTCTTGTATGTTGCTAGCAGAATGGGATCTAATTCCTACCATGTTTACCACCTAGGTGAATGGCCTGGTCCAATTAGTGAGACATCTACTGAACTCAATCACAGTCTGACAAACGGACAGTCATACAGTCATCTGAAACGGGTCTATCACACCATGGTCCTCAGTTGTCTGTTCCACTCCACTGCTGAAGGAAGATGCCTGCCAGCTCCTGCTCCGGGTGGGGTCAGGCTGGTGAGCAGAGCAGCTGCTGGGGAGGTGACTGGGAGGTGGCCTGGACCCTCCTAGGGGCTAAGAGACGCCGCCCAAAGTTAGTACATCAAAGCAAATGTTGCAGACTCGCACAGGCTTGTTCAGATCAAACTTTATAATGGGAATCTCCTTGGTCGAACATTTATGGCAAAGAAGACGTCCGCAATGACGGCTGTGGAAGCAAAGAAAGGAACCATGAGAGAGGAGCCAAAGAGCAGCCTACTCCCCAGCACAGGGACAGCCACACTGCCCGCCAAATGACACGAGTGCATGTATAACTTTGTCCATGAAAACACAGCTCCAGCCAATAAGTTAAAGTGACTCTGGAGAAGGCTTTCTTCAAAGATCAAGACAGAGTTAGCAACAGCCAAAGAATCGTCTCATGCTCATGGGAGCAGCTCCTCAGTCTTTTCAGAGAGAGGGAGAGAAACAGTGATGTGAGAAACATCAAATGGTTGCCTCCCACATGCCCCGACTGGGACCAAACCTGACTGGGGACTGAACCTGCAACCTAGGCATGTGCCCTAACTGGGACTCGAACCCAGAACCTTTCCGTTTATGGGAGGATGGCCAAGCAATTGAGCCACACCAGACAGGGTAGCTCCTCAGTCCTTGGTGGAGCAGCCAGTGCTCCAGCTAGGCAGCACGACTTCCAGGGCAGCAGCAACTCAGCTCAGCTCTGCAGCAGGTAGAAAGCCTGGGAAAGGTGACATAGGCCTGAGAGGCTACGTGGGACCTGTGGAACCCAGCATTCAGCAGGAAAGCCATCAGTCTGAGTGTCCCCTGCCCTCCTTATATCACTACAGGTGTGACCAGTCCTGTCATTTCATCACTGTACTTGGCCAAGTTTCACCCATGAGAGTGCAGGGTCCCGGCAAATTCATAGCTTATTGTGGAAAAAATCAGAAGCAATGACATCAGCAGAAGTCCCCTCACTACTCTGACAAGTGATGCTGGGGGTTCTTACCAGTGATGCTTTCGAGTTGTGACTCCGAACTTGGCAGTGCACTCATAGCAGTTGGAGCCATCACACCATGGAGGCTCCTTGGACAGCATATCTGTAACAGCGGGAGAAGACTAGTTCCTGTCAGATAGTGACCGTGCCAGGCTAGACTCAGAGCTTAAGACCGAGCAGGGAAACAGACCAGTAAATAAAGTGACACACTGCAGGGTCACATGAGGGATGAGGGAGCAATACACTCTCACTGGGTCAGGGAAAGCGTTGCAGAGAGAATATGTGGAACCAGCATTTGCTACACAGACCAGGGGAGAAGGAAATGGCAGCCATGTCTGCGGGGGACTACAAGGCTGGAGTGTGAGGCACAAGGAGGAGAAAGCAGAGACCAACAGCTAGAAAGACTGGCAGGTATTCAAAGGTAAGCAGAACGAGCAGGAGGGGCCCAAGACAACCCGTAAGATCTGGTGAGTGAGTGAGTGGGAGGATGTGAGAGGGAGACAGGGAGCAGGGAGGAGACAGGTGATTCCTAGATCTAGATGGAGTGGCTGGGCCTGCAGGGAGACCAGCAGAGAAGAGACCAGAAAAGAAAGAACCAGAGTAGATGAGAAGTTCACTTCTGAGTCTGCAAAAGCTGAAGAGCATTTAGGCTGGGCATTATTGGTGTAGATAACAGCAACAATCACTAGTGTTTGTTTACTGGGCACTAACTCGAAGCCAGGCGCTGTTCTGAGAGCTCTCTACACAGACACAGACTGAGCTCACACGGAGGAGGCAGCACGTGAATCACTCACTCCTGAGCACCTGCTGCACACCAGCACTGTACTGGGCTCCTGTACTGAGCACTCAGAAGTCCGACCAAGTGCATGCAAATAGACCAGATATCACAGAAGCACTGGGCTTCAGTGCTGACTCTGCCACCAATCAGCTTTGTGACTTTGGGCAAGTCACCTACATCAAAATCACATAGCTATAAGGTACTTATGAGCTCTTTTCTCCTGCCCACACCGTGGGGCTAATAACCCATTCTGTGTCCATTGTGGGAGATGACAGCACAGCGACACATAGGCATGTGAGGCATTCTGAGTCTTTCTGCCGCCCCAAAGGGATGAGGAAAGACTTGCAAATATGAAATTATCAAGAGCAAAGCACTCCTCTTCACAAAGGAAGCAGAGAAAACAAAAACCAGTAGGGGCTAAACACAGGCTACTCTGAAGGAGGCAAAGAATCTGAATCAGCTAAAGGAAGAAGGGTGTGCAGATAAGCAGCCAGGACCCGAGGGAAGGGTGACCTGCCTGGAGCTTACGGATTTCTGGGAGCCTCAGGGGAAGTAGGAAACCAACAGGGGCCCCAAAGTGGGCACTCTGAGAGGAGACTGCTGACAGTGACCCTCCCAACCACTGCTCAAAGGCCCTTCATGACATTCACAGAAAGAGTGCTATATGGTGCCTGGAAGACTACTGGTTCAGATCTTGCAGGAAGTCATTATGAGACTTAAAGATCATCAGCCCATCTAGACAATCAACATGGAACTGGGCTTGCAGTGAAAGGGCGGAAGGTAGGCCACTCACCTAATAGTCTGAACAGAAGTTGCTTGGTGGCAACCTGGTAGTTGAAAATGTTGACCCCTTGGTTATTGTTCACCCCAAGGCGAGCCCCAGATCGGACGATGGCACGGCACAGGTTGGCATTCCCCTTCATGTATGCTAGGAGAAGCGCTGGAAAACAGAACCACAGGCCGGGCTATTTCCCACTCGTGCCGGGCCTGGCACTGCTGAAGGCCTGGCAGAGGACGGCTGAGTGTAGGACAGTCCCCTGAGAGGACAGCCATTAGGACAGTCCCCACTGACACTCGGGAGCCCTGTGGCTCCAGTGAGACCCCCCCCAGGAGATCGGCAGCACCTTCCAGTCAAGGACCCGGCATAAGCCAGGGGACTCTAGAGCAGCTCCAGCTCCGGAAGGAAAAACACACCACTGTCTCCGCTGCCTTCCTCCGGCAGGAGCCACCAGGAGGACAAAGCTCTTTGTATACAGTGTAACTAAATCTGAAGACCCGTGGGGTGTGCACACAGGCAGAAAAAGGTCAGTGGGGGGAATAAGCTCCAGAAAAGTTCTCAGCAGCTGCAGGCCCACTGGGAACCCAGGCTCTGGCCGGGCCATCCTGCTGGCCCTTTTTACTAACAATTACAGTGCATAGCAGATCCCCTCTGCTTACCTTTACCAGACACTTCATTTAAATTCTTTCATTTAATTCTCTGAATAATCCAGTAAGGTAAGGGTTATTTCAAAGGAAGAAATGAGCATAAAGTTGCTGAAAAATTGATCCAGAACCACCAGCCAGACCATGACAGAGCCAGGTGTTTGTAACCAGGTCCTCTATGTCACCCAGCGCCTGCCTGCCTGCCTGCCCGCCCCTGGAAAATGGCGCTCACTGGAGTTCCATGCTGGGTCCAGCAGCTCCCGCCCGGGGCTGACTCCTCTGAAGCTGAGGCTCAGTGTGGCTGGCTTAAAAAACACGTTTGTGTATCAAAACCAAGAACTCTTCCCAAGGCCAAGAACTGATGATAAAATATTCAATCCCGTGCTAAGATTCAGGACACCCCTTGGTAACTGCATTTCTGCCAAAGGCCATGAGGGCAAATGAATGGGAATGCTATGCAGCAAAGTGCTCAGAGCTCCCAGAACTGGGAAGAAAGAGACTTGGGTCTCATTTTTGTTTCCCTACTTGAAAAATAAGGACACAGTGAGTATTCAAGAAAATGAATGTAAAAGTGTATTTAAAAAACTATAAAAGCTACACAAATGAACATAATGATTGTTGGTAGCTGGAGCCAACAGGAGGACAGAGGCCTATTTTTTAACCCCCTCAGTAAGACATCAGCCCTTATCTGCATATAACTTGCCACTTTTTCATAGCCTGTCAACACACACTGTCTTCCACTTCCTCCTTCTGAAGCACCTGTGACATGGTTACATTTTATCTCCCCTGGGATTTGGGAGCATGGGTAGGGCCTTCATTGCCTGCTTGAATAGGAGGCAGGTGATGGTGACAAAAACAGGTGGGCAGGCCTTTGCAGCACTGGATACACATCCTATGTGCTTGTGCCTAAAATCTGACACCGCCAAATTCCATGGCCGGTATCTGTGACAGATGCTCACGGAGCCCAGCTGAAATACACTGGGCCAGATGCACTTCAATAAATGACACGAGCGTCTGGACTTGTTTTTCCAGGAAGCAGGGAATACAAGTGAGACAGGACATACAAACAGCTTATTACATACCCGTGTTTCCTTCTGCATCTGGTTTATCTAGAGGATACTCAGGCATGCACTCTAAGAAGAGATCAAAGATGGCTGCTGCATTCTCTTTGCCATACTGTCCCAAAATGTGCAGTGGCGACTGGCCTCTGATAAAACAAGTTGAAAAGTTAGGTATGTATCTGCCGCAGCCATCAACCACAAAAGAAATGGAATATTCTTAACTCTGTCATGCTGGATAAATCAAAAGACACATAATAGGCCATAAAAGTTTTCCTAAAAAGTATTTATTTTTATTTTTTATTTATTTTTATTTTTTAAAGGACTCTTATTTTTTTTAAGATTTTTTATTTATTTATTTTTAGGGAGGGATGGGGGGGAGAGAGAGAGAGAGAGAGAGAGAGAGAGAGAGAGACATTAATGTGCGGTTGCTGGGGATTATGGCCTGCAACCCAGGCATGTACCCTGGCTGGGAATCGAACCGGGGACACTTTGGTTCCCAGCCCATGCTCAATCCACTGAGCTACACCAGCCAGGGCTAAAAGTATTTATTTTTAAAAGAAAACTTACAGGCTACCAAAAGCTGGTCAAGTGCCCTAGTGGCCAGTTCTACAATGGGCACCCGGGGCTAATGCGAGGCTCCAGTGACTGCCAGCTCTGAGGGGCAGGCCAGGTGACATGGAGCACTGGCCTCTGCTCTGGACTACACATACCCACCTTAGATTAAAGGCTTCGGCGTCCACGGTGCACTCTGTCAGGAGGACCCGGATGTTGTTGAGCCGACCATGCATGACAGCAAGATGAAGAGCTAGGAGATAAATCCTCTTACTGTGCAAGCCCAGGAGCACACACAGAAAACCCTGACTGCTCCTCACCCTCACAAATCTTGCTCTAAAAGGGACTCAGCCTGAGAGGCCCCTGTCTACCCCCCAAGAATGAGTCATAAATGCAACCTTCTAAGACTGCTCTCTGCTTCCAGTTATCCAAAGATGAGTTTAATGGTTTCACAAGAAGCCACTTTTGGCTTCTAGGATTACTATTCAGATTGGGAGGCTGCCCAGGGCCTGGTCAGTGGCATGTGGGATGCCTGGCTCAGAGCCTTCCCCACCACTGCTCTGCTCCTGTGAAAGCCAACTTCCCTGAGGGGGAGCACACCCAAGGGTGCAGTGCACCTCCACCCTTAGCATGAAGGGACTGCTTAAGGCACTTAGCACTGCACAAAGGGGAAGGACTGGGAATTACCATTATTTCCATTCTCATCCACAGCAGCAAAGTCCACTCCATTCTCCAAGAGGACTGAGCAGATGGTGGGTAGGTCCTGCTGGGCAGCCAGATGCAGTGCAGTCTGGCGGTGCTTGGTTAACTCATTCACTCTGGCTCCTGCAAGAAGCTGTTGAAGTTGATTACATGAGCAGCCTCTACCACAACAAACCAAGGTCCTACTTATGGGGGGGGGGTGAGCCTGTGTGTCTTCTGACATCCACAGAGTCTGCCTGCTAGCAAAGCTGGGAGCAGGAGGGCCTCACATGCACTCCTGGCAAAAGCCAGCAAAATTTGTCCCAAGGGTAGACTGACAATTAGCAAAATGGTAAAAAGCCATTCCTTAGGACGCAGAAACTCTACTTCTAAGACTTCAGACTTACACGAGACTGCAGTGATGTTCACTGCACTGTTAAGGATGTCCACTGCTTGTAAAAGTAAAACTGGATTGCAAAACATATTTAGTTATGAAAATTACAATATATACAAACAAAAGCATAGTAGCTATTAAGATGATAAAAATTTATGGTTTAACATGGAAAGGTATCTATGATATAGTATGTTTAAAAAAGGCAAATTAGAAGACAGAATGATAGTATGATTCATTTGGAGAGAGAAAGAAATGTACATACATTCACACACACACACACACACACACACACACACACACACACACACACAAACTCTGAAGGTGTTTAAAAGCAAACATACCAAACTCACAGGAGAGTTGAGGGTGAAAGGAAGATAGTTTCTGCTTTATATCCTTATGTGCTTTAAGTTTTTCACAAAAAGCATGTACTATTTTTATATTTTTTAAAAGAAAGAAAATAACACAAAAATACAGAATCAAAGGCAGAAAGGACCTTTAAATAATATCTATTCATTTAGTATTTGAAAGTCATTCATCACCCACTTTCTGACAAAGATTCAGACAGCTGCTGTGAACAGAAAAGAAGCTGCAGTTCACAGTCAGAGCCAGCTTGCCTCCCGCAAGGGCTGAGGCCCCCGCTGGTCCTGTCTGTGTGAGGAGGCACTCTGCCTCGGGGAACTCTGGGCACTGGTTAGCCGCTCTGCTTCTGACTCCGACTTCCAAGTCCCAGCCTCCCCAGACCTTTGTGTGCCCAGTCAAGTCACTCATAGGTCCAGACAGGACATGGCATAAAGGGGTATTCATGGTCACAGGTGCTAGGGATCACAGCTAACCCCAAGGCTTACGGGTGGAGGGGAAGAGGTTTGGGTAAAGGCATTATTTCAATGCAAGCAGGTTCTAACAATAAGCTGTACCAATTCACAAAGGAAAGACTGGGCTGTCACTGTCAAGAGTCCTCACACCTCCCCAGGCTCAGTGCTGCAGGCAGACTTAAGAATGTGCGCCCGGATTCCATGTGAGACCCACCCCCACCTTCTTTGCTGCTTGCCCCACACCCAGTCCTTCCTGGCATCCATCCGGTCCACCTCCTCAGTCACTCCCCAGTCCACCTTTCACTGCCACTGCCTCCCCTCAGCCTCTTCACTGGTGGCTCTGCCCCCATGCCCTTGCATCCCACCCCCAAGATAAATGCTTTCTCAGCTCTAACATATTGCAAGTCATCAAGGTTTTCTAAAAAGTATTTTTCACAAACAAAAATGGCTGGGCACTAAATGCTGGTCAACTGTCTCAGTGGGCAGTTCTGGGCATGCACCTGGGGCTGATGGGGAAGCACCAGCAGCTGCCAGCTCCTAGGCGCTAGCCAGGTGATGTGGAGCCCTGTCTTGGCTCCGGGCCATGGCCTCAGCTCAAACACTTACACTGGCTTCTCCACCACCAAAGGACAAAGGCTGCTCACAGTTCCTGGTCTGAAATATGACACTCCACAGTCTGGTCTCCAACCACATCTCCTACTCTCTACCCAAATTTCAATGAAACTTTTCTACTTAAAACACAGCCCTGCATGTTCCAGTCTGCATATCTTTGCTTAGACCCTTCTCCTGCCTGGATGTGATTATTTTGTACTAGAAAGGGCAAACTTTGGAGTCAAACAGAAATGTCTAAAATCCCAACCACACTACTATCTATTAATCCTGGGGAGAAAAATTCTTTCTGAGCTTAAATTTTCTCCTTTGTAAAATGTAAAAAATCTCCTAGTAAATCAGGGTGGTTTTGCAAATTAAGAGGCAGTAAACTCCTTGACATAAGTCTGAGCTATGATTTTTTTTTATCTGACTCCAAAAGCAAAGGCAACAAAAGCAAAAATAAACAAGGAGGATGACAAAAAAGCTTCTACACAGCAAAGAAAATGATCAACAAGATGAAAAGGCAACCTACTGAATTGGAGAAAACATTTGTAAATCATATCTGGTAAGGGTTAATATCCAAAATATGTAAAGAACTCATACAACAGAGTAGCAAAAAACAAAACAAAACAAAAAACAAAACAAAACAATCAATTTAAAAAATGGGCAGAAGATCTGGACATCTCCCACAGAGAACATACAGATGGTCAGCAGGTACATGAAGCAGCTCAACATCATCATTATTGGGGAATTTCAAATAAAAAACACAGTAAGATATCATCTCACACCTATCACAATGGCTCTTTTCAAACAGATTAAGAAACAACAGCACTGATGAGCATGTGAAGAGAAAAGGAAACCCTAGTGCACTGTTGGTGGGAATGTAAATTGGTACAGTCACTATGAAAAATAATATGGAGGTTCCTCAAAAAATTAAAAAATAGAACTACCATATGATCCAGCAATTCTACTTCTGGGTATTTATCTAAAGAAATCAGAAACACTAATTCAAAAAAATAATTGTACCTCTATGTTTACTGCACCGTTACTTATGATAGCCAAGATATGGAAACACCCTAAGTGTCCATTAATGGATGAATTCAAGAAGACATGGTGCATGTGTACACGGTGTGCACGTGTATAGTGGGTGTGTGCAGTGTGTACGTATGTCTACACACTGTGTGTGCATACACACAATGGAATTCTATTCAGCCATTAAAACAGAATGAAATCTTGCCACTTGCAACATGAATGAACATTGAAGGCATTATGCTATGTGAAGTCAGTCAGACAGAGAAAGACAAATACCATTATGATCTCACTTATACGTGGAATTTAGAAAGCAAACAAAAAAGCCCCAAGTTCACAACTGTAGAGCACAGACTGGTAGTGGCCAGAGGCAAAATGGGTGAAGGAGCTCAAAATGTACAAACTTCCAGTTATAAAGTCAAAAACCATGAGGATATAATGTACAGCATGGTGATTATAGTTAATAACATTATTATATATTTGAAAGTTGCTAAGAAAGTAAATCTTAAAAGACTTCATCACAAGCAAAAAATTTTTTTGTAACTATGTATGGTGACAGATGTTAATTAGACTTATTGTGGTGGTCATTTTGCAATATACACAAATATTGAATCAATATGTTGTATATACCTAGAATTAATGTTATGTTTATTACACCTCCATGAAAAAAAAAAAGACTAGAGAGAGTGCATGCTCATGTGCTCACGAAAGAGAGTCAGAGAAAGAGAGCACTCAAAAGTACTGCTGAGCGCCTGACAAGGCAGGCAAACAACACGAGTGGCTCTCCTGTCCCTAGATGCTCCCACTCAGTGCCACCACCCAAACCCTGCTTTCCCTCAAGGCCTCACTGCAGCATTCGCCTGATCAAGCAGCCCAGTGTGCACTTAGGTTATGCTGTCTGCCCACTACGACACCTGCTTTCCTGAGGGTAGTGGCTTACTCCCCGAATTCACACTAGCCTTTCACACTAACTAGAAAAACACCGATGATGAGAGATTCTGCACACAATCTACCACACGGCTTTGTTCTGTTACATGCAATAATGTTTCAGCGACACTTACCAAATTGCGGACAATAATCTCTGAGCCAGCTTGGACAGCAAGGTGCAAAGGGGTCAACTTGGAAGCATCCTGGACTCTGGAATTCACATTAGCCTGGACACTGATCAGGAACAGGACACTTTCAATATCAGAGTTCTGAACTGCCACGTGAAGAAAATTCCGGCCCTTGTTATCCACCTAAGGCAGGAAGCAGGAACCAAAATATTAGTGGTCTCCCCTGTGCAAGAGCACCTACTTGAACACCTGCAAGCTGCACTGACTACTGGAGAGGTCACAGGGTAGATAGAACCTCCCTCAGTTGCAGGAAGCCAGCCAGCCCCCAGACAGACCCATTCTATGGATGTGTGCACATAACCATGTGAGCACTGTCACATCCTCGTGGTCAGGGAAAGGGAGTCCCTGCCCTGATCCATGCTGTGCTGGCAGCCTCCTGCAGCGGGAGCTAGACTTGGAAAGCGAAGAAAGAGACAACCTGAAGTAAAGCGAAAGGAAGGCACAAAAAGATTAGGATATTTGGCGAAAGGCAAAGGTGGAGACTAGCCTTGGAGTCTCCTGCTTTGGCTAAAACAGGCACCCAGGGCCCTGGCTGGTGTGGCTCAGTGGGTTGGGCATTGTCCCACAAACCAAAAGGTTGCTGGTCCCATTCCTGGACAAGGGTACATGCCTGGGTTGTGAGAGGCAACTGATCAATGTTTGTCTCTCACATCGATGTTTCTCTTCCTCTCTCCCTTCCTGCCCCTCTCTAAAAACAAGTAAATAAAATCTTACAAAAATTAAAAAGCACGCAGCATCCTAACACCAGAGCTACAATGGCAGCCAGACCTTGAGTAGTCAGACAAATCTTCATAAATTTTCAGAAAGTTTCCTCTTTGCAGAGCTACAGGGTAACAGAACACATTGGGGGAGGCAGCCAACTGTGTATCTCAGACTTAGCTTCACTGATACAAAGCAGACAAGAACTCACTCAAATTGAACTACAGAGAACGTTGTGGTTATATCCACATGAGGGCTCAGTGAGAAAGGAGGGAGATCCAACGTGCTGCACACACACATTCGCTAACGCACACATTTCTCCAGCACATGCTGGTGTTGGAGCAACGCATGTGCAAAGGACTCTGGTCACCAGTACCAGTTTTGTACTAGACTGAGAGGGAATGTGAGTTGGCTGTCCATTCATGAACACTCTACACATCCGAGCCATGGTGAGACTAACACCTACACAATTCAGTCACAGCAAATGCTGAAGCAACGCAATGTACAGAGGTCTGAAATATTGGGCCACAGTCTTCAATGATGTTAGACTTCATTTTGTTCAGGTCCCACATTCCCATTCACCTTCATAAACGGCTATTCAAGACCTGGCAGTATTCTAAGTGCCAAATGAAGACTCAATGGTCTGTAGGGCTGACTTAACAAACCCATCCCAGCTCCCACCTCAGGTCAGCTGCTGTGGTCATTTCCCACCCACTCTGTTGTTTCAGGTCAACAGTTCACCATCCAGGAAGAACAAGAATATTAAGCCTGCTAGGATGAATGATAACAACTTAACTTCTTTAAAACACTCAGAAAGTTGACCCAATGTCACACCAAAAGCTCAAGTCAATTTCAATGTTTTAAAGACTTACTGGGGCAATTGAACAACCAAGCAAAAAACAAAGAACTCCCTGAGTTGTACATGTGACAGAATTCCTAGTACTGGGCCCAGCCACCTCCAGCTTCTTCTATACGTGACACCATTAGGTGGCTGACATACAGGGCACACAGTCCAATCTCACCCAGCACTGACAGGACATCGTAACGGCCAAATCTTAAGAAAGGGGAGTATAATCTCCAAACAAATGTCTTTACATAAAAGAGATCTATATAAGGAGAGACATATGTTTAGTCTCCATGTAACAGGTTCTGCCATGCTTGGGACATTGCGGAGAAGGTTGGTATTGGTCACTTACCTGCTCTGCAGCCCCGGACTCGCGTTTTAGAATGGCGTCAGCGGCCTTGTTGTTCTTGTAGGTCATGGCGCAGGCAAAAGGGGTCAGGCCTTGTCTGTCTCGTACATTCAAGTGGATGTCAGGGTGAGAAATCAACAACTGAATGATGACACTGTGTTGGTTGCTGATGGCCACGTGGACAGGCGTCCTTCCTTCTGCATCCTATGAGGACAAGGCACAGATTTCACTATCCAATGAAAAATGAAACACAGGAAAAATATAAATGGCAAAACTTTTAAATCAGATTTGGTTCTGAGAATCAATGCTACCACTCTCTGTTTGAAATCAGCTTTTAAAGAGGCCAGAGATGACTAAAAGCCACTCCCCATTATGACCCCATGCTCCAGTGCCCTAGGTGCTCAAACACATTTGTTGAGAAGATCTGCGGGCAGCCTCAGCTCTGAGTTACACCAAGCCTTATCTGGCCACAGGGCAACGTACATAAATCTCCATAGGCTCCAGGTTGCAAAGCATCAAGGAACTAACTCAAGGATGCTTAACTGAGCTCCCGAACATTTTCCTAAACACTGTAGAGATGTTCCTCAACTCACAATGGAGATACATTCCAACTAACCTATCAAAAGGGGAAAATGCATTTAACACACCCAACCTACAGAACACCACAGCTTAGCCTAGCTTACCTGAAATATACTCAGAACACTTACATTAGCTTTCAGCTGGGCAAAATAATCTAACACTATCTCATGTAATTTATTACATTATACATATCACTTTCATACCATCGTGAAGTTGAAAAGTCATTAAGTCAAACTATCCTATGTTGGGGACTGTCTGTATGCTATCTTGGGACTAGAACAGACTCTCCATGGAAATCTATAACTAATTAGGATGGGATTAGGAAGTAGAGAAAAGTGAATTCAACAAATGTTCTAAAAAAACAAAACAAACAAAAGAAAACAAATAAAAAACCCCCCCACAAATGTTTCTCATGCTGTAGAAGGACAGAGGACAGTAATCATTAAAATTACTAAGCAGGCTGTATGACACAGAGAAAATCACTTCATCTGCCTGTAGTTCAGCCTCACTCATGGTAAAGCAAAGGCCCAGGACTGGAGAATCTGCAAGGTCTCTTTGCCGTAAGAGATTTTCCCTAATTCTAGAGTTACCCTCACTCTCCCTGGAAAAGAGAAGCTCTCCATACCTGTGCATTTACATTGGCACCAAACTCCAGAAGACACTGTACTGTCTCTTCCAGTCCCCAGGATGCTGCCAAATGCAAGGGGGTCTGGCCATCTCTGGCCTCTTCCTCTCCTTCTCCATTAGCACCGGGTCGTCTGGGACTATTCACATCGCAGCCACTGAAGAGGAGGGGGAAATGAAAGGAAGGCTTCAAGGGCAAAGCTTCCACCTAGCCTAAAGGCGTGCAGATAAATACACAGCAGCAGACTTATCTGATTCAACAAAAAAGCTGCTGCCATTAGGGATTGCTGTCCTTGGTCCTTAGCCTCAAATGCCAGTGTCTGGTCCCGCTCCCACAGGCTCTTCTACAATTGGTCTTGGGGACAACCAGGGCATCAGAACCCTCCCCAGGGGATCTGCATGCATTCATTTGAGGTTTGAGAACCACTGCTCTAAAGGTTTCCTGAGTAACCTTGCCTCCACACATCTTGGACTCTGAGAGGTCATGGAGCCGGTCACGGAGCCTGTCATGGCTCATGAATCTTGGTGGGGTCTGCAGAGGCCATCTGGTCTCCTCCCCCACACCCCCTGGCTTCACTGTGTAAACTGGTCTGATCTGACTATGGGAGCCTATGTGGCTCCCAAAGAGGGAAGCTGGCCTAGCTTTTAGACTCTCTGATCTGGGTGCACAAGCTCCTCTCTTCACAAGTGAGTCAAGTCTCTCGGCTGACTTGACATGACAGAACAGTGACCCCAGGAGCCTTAAGTATGAAAGGCAGCCAACGATTGCAAACTGTAGCGCTACAGTTCGCAATAAGCCGAATAAAAACAATTTGAATAGAAACTTAAACTTCTCGGACCTTCGAATAAGAAAGCAGGCGATGGATTCATTGTTTTCATCAATAGCTCTGTGCAGCAGTGTCTGAAGACATCCACTAGGTCCTGGACCCCAGCTGGTGGCATCACAGCCATGTCTGACCTGTAGAAAGACATGTCACTCACAAAACTGCCTAGCAAGGTGAAAATTTTTGTGACCATCTCAGAGCTCTATGCACATCATTAGATTCATTTTTCAGGCAAGAAGCAGTTAATAATTAACTGGTAATTATGCTAATCTGTATCATTCATTAGTTTTACAAACACTGATTAAACTCTGCTCTGTGAGAGTGTGCATGAGCCCTTGAAATGATGTGTTTGGGAAATCTAAGACAGATGTTTAATCGGTGCCCTTCAGAGTTGTGTTCCAGAAGGAACAGAAAACACACACAAGTGCGTTCATACACACTCATAAGCCCCCAGTAACACATACCTGTAATTGACAGGTAAAACCAGTAACAACTGGGTAAACCCTCAGGTGCACAATGCCTTACTGCCACATTTTAGGCCCTTCAAAAGCTCTGCTTTTGAGATTTAGGCATTTATTACTCCAGTGACAGCCAGGGTAGCCCATACCAAACTAACCCAGCTCAGGAGAAGACTCCTGAGGAAATGCTTCAGCTCTCTTGCTTCTTGGTAGTTTTTCTTTTTTTATTTATTGATTTTAGAGTGAGAGGAAGAGGGAGAGGGAAAGGGAAATAATCTGTTTGTTATTCCACTTATTTATGCATTCATTGGTTGATTCTTGTATGTGCCCTGACCAGGGACTGAACCTGCAACGTTGGCGTATTGGGATGACGCTCTAACCAACTGAGTTACCTGGCCAGGGTTTCTTGGTAGTTTTCTTGATAAAAAAAAGAGCCTTGAAAAAAGATTGGCCAAGACTGTGTTGAACTGCAAGTTTCTTTAACAGGACTTTCTACTGCTTGTCCGTGACTCAGTTTGTTACTTGGCACATCTCTTGCTCCTTATGGTTGCTATGTAGGCACCAAATCCATCTGACACAAAACATCCCCACACATAAACAGAGGTCGAAGTTGAGTTTTTCTCACCAGAGTGGATGCGATGTCCTCCAGGTTATTTGCCAGAGCGAGCCACAGAGGGGGGTTCCCCCTCTCATCAGGCACGGACATGTCAGCTCCTCGGGTGCATATGGCATCCACCACAAGTGGCAGCTGGTTTCTGATGGCCAGCTGAAGGGCTGTCTCCCCGTCCTGGGTCCTGCGAGGACGTACATGCACACCAAAGCCAACACTTGTAACTAAAGCCACCTGAGAAATGGTGCCCTTCTGGGCATTCCAAAGGCCTGAATCCACTGCATACCTTAAACATAATTCACTGACATTCATTAATATTCTTTCAGAAAAATATAACCTGTCAACAGCATCTATCCCAGACCTTTTAAAAATATAGCCATACCGTCCTATGTCATAGAAAAAGTAACTGACCGCCAGGGTGTTGAAATCCTAAAGGCATACAGTTACTTTTAATAGCATCTTAATAAAATGCTACTATACCAACTATCCACTTGACAAAACACTTCATTCACCCACTCACATCATTCAAGATCACTTGACATTGGAGATAAAGGGAAATCCGTTTGAAAACACAACACAATAAATGTTTAACTCTGCATATTTTCCCCCTCAAGCCTTTTTCATAGCTTGTTTGTTGGAATGTTCTTTATCATAACTGGAATTCTTACTCAACTGATTTTAGATTGCCCTTTTTAATGAGATTGTGCAGTTATTGCACATTGATTTTAAGAGGTTCAAACAAGAGCCAAGTATAGTTCTCATTCTTCACCCCACAAGTATACGCTCACAAGCAGTTACAGCACCACAGTTGTCCTTTCTAGTCACTGTTCCCCTTCCTCTATTTAACAAGAACAACAGTGTGTTCTACAGGCAAGGCTGTGCTTCTGTACCATCTCCCATCCATGTAACCTGGTGCTGCAGGTGTTTCAGCCTACCTGACGTTTATATCCGCCTGGTGCTCCAGGAGAAACAGTGCGCTCTTGCTGTCCTGCCGCTGCATGGCCATGTGCAGCAACGTCTGCCCGTCCGACATGGTGTCATTGATGCATGCCCCGGAGCCCAGCAGCTGGGCTGCGATCGTGTGCATGCCTGGGAGACAAACAAGCCCTGACTAGCGCATGTCTAGCTTTTCCCACTTCTTCAACATCTTACTACAACAAACACTCTCTAGTTCTTAAACCCAGCAGTTCTCCACTGGACATTACAGGCTTAACCCAAACAGGAAGGTTATTTTACAACCAACGGATTAGCTCCAAGCCTTCCACACCTCCCTCCTTCCCTCTCTCCCACCTCACCCCTTCTTCCATATGTCTACAGATATTAACGGCCTCTGGCACCACCTTACCTGTCCATAATGCCAGGCCCAGCACAGTCTGGTCTCGGGAATCCTTGAGGCTGAAGTCCGGAATAATTTGCAAGTTGTTGGTGGCATGAAGAGCATTAGCTAAATTTTTTTAAGAAAAAGAAAACTTGATTTCACCACCCCATGGATCATGTTTAAAGTATCCAAGAGAGCCCTGTCCAGGTAGCAGTTGGCTGGAGTGTCGCCCCAATACACCCAGGGTTGCAGGATTGATTCCCCAGTCAGGACACATACAGGAATCAGCCAATGAATGCATAAGTGCAGCAGCAAATCAGTGTTACTCTCTTTCCCTTCCTCTCTAAAATGAATCAGTAAATAAAAATTTCAAGTTCTCTTTAAATTTTCTTCCAAGAGAGCAAGAACTCAGTTTTAAACTGACTAGCTAAAATACAAACTGATATATTTTCTTGTGGAGAGTGGAAGCCCAGAAATCTAGTATTTTGGAGGAAAGTTTTTGGGGAAAATGCGTTTTTTAAAGCTTAAAACGTTGACTCTTCATAAAAGGAAACCAGACTCCACTATGGAAACACACACATTAATTACTTGATTGTGGAAAAGAGGACCAAAACAACGCCCTGGTGATGTTTTCCTAATACACAGTGCCTACGATGTTACAATTCCTGTGGGGACCAAGAAAAAGGGCGCACTCTAAAAACCCCGCTTCCTTCCAGAGCAGTGCTGAAAAATGCTGGCCTTAGCAGGATGCAGGTGAGAGTACCAAAAATTTCAGGAGAAGAGAGGACAGCCCGAGGCTGGCTCTGTGAGGGAAAGGGGCCTCCTCCACTGCAGGGGCTTCCCTTTGCCTGTTTCTTTGGCTCCTATCTCATGGTTCACCTGCCATGGTGGTGCAGATGACAGGACTGATGGCTCCTGGAGGACCTGCCACAGCAGAGTTCTCAAAACACAGACCTTGCACCAAAGCAAAGCTTTGCTTGACCTACACTGACATGCCTGGGAAAACACCCCCAAGTAAGAGAGAAGCAGTCAAATGTTCTTAACCCAGTGGGTGAACCAGGCAGGCCCCACCCTAAAAATGTACACTACAGTCGGGAGCCAGAGTACATGCTTATCTAGTTAGACCTGGAAAACTCACTCATGAAAGAAACATCATCTCTGTAATTAACTACTCAAAACCACTGTTCAAATGTCAAAGTAACAGGCAGTAATTCCCAACCACCTACCTTTTTGCTCCAGGATGACAGACACCACATCTGGATGATTATAGGCAATTGCCATGTGCAGTGGCGTCTGCAGATAGACACTGCCCACTGATGCAGCCTCCTTTGGCAAAGGCAGAGCTTCCTCTGTCTGCAGGTTGGGGTTGGCACCCTGCTGCAGAAGCTCTGCAGTGAGGTTGGCCAGGCCATGCCGACAGGCTGTGTGCAGCGGAGTTTCTCCCTGAACAGAAAAAAATGACCCACATCAGAGCACTTCCAGGCTGGGAGTTACCTTCCCGGCCTAAGTGCTGAAACTCAGGTCCCCAAGTGCCAGACACAGCCCTGGGCTTGTCCTGTCACCGGCTGACCTCCATGACTTTTGTGCCACTCCTCCTGGTCTCCTCCCTTGTTTCTGCAATGTCCTCCCAAGCACCCTCCAAATGTCCTGGCTCCTCATCTTCTACATTTCAAATGACCTTCTTAACCACCCTTCATTTTGTTTTTATAATTACTTACAATTATAAAAACAACACATGACTATTATTAAACAACAACAGAGGACTTCCAAGTGGCACTAAACTAAACACTGGAACTGGAAGAGCCTCACAATCACAGCCCCAGAGACGCGCAGTGCCTTCCTCCCATGTGGCCTGCACTGGGGCTGCACTCTCAGCCCCACCAGCGTGCCCACACCCCGCTTCCCTGACCTACTCTGTCAACATGACCAAGACCACCTTCCCCACTTTTCACAATTAAAAACATTTTAAGTTGGTGTTATAGGTACTTGATTCAATATTCAAAAGCTGTAAGAATATTCAGTGAAAGGAAGTTTCCTTTCACCCCTTGCCCCCACCACCTAATTACCCTCCCCTGTAGAAACCACTCACTAGTTTCCCGTTTCTCTCCAGTGACAGAATATTCATAGAACTACATACACACGCGCACACATATGTGTGTATTCGTATGTGCAGTTTAAGACAGGATATAGCACAAATGCCTAGGAAATGGTCTCTGAGTGAATCAATCAACCAGTATTTGAGGATAAAAGCATCTGTTTCACTCTGGTTTTTAAATCATGTGTATATATATTACTTTGACAAAAACTAGAAAAAAGAATCCATTCCATTGTCCCCTACACATCTGCCACTGCCATTTCCCTGCCCTGGCTGCCCTGTCACACTTACCCACTTGTTTCTGTGGTTGACGTGGGCACCGCTGGTTGCCAGGAAAAGAGCTGCTGCCTCATTTCCTGCTTCAGCTGCCCGCTGCAGTAAGCAATTTCCTAGGAGAAAATGGGCAAATTCATTCTTCCCTTTGCATACAAATGAGGTCCAGTTCCACACCGCCCCGCGCCCTGACCTTCCCCACCTTCACAACTGACAAACCCACACCTGAAGGCCACACTGGCACTCTCTGTACGTGGTCAAAGAGGCTAGGATGAGTGTGGGTGGAGCAAAGAATGCACATTTTTCAAGTACATAGCAAACATTTTTAAAAATGAGTAAAAGTTGCCCTGGCTGGCATAGCTCAGTGGATTGAGCACAGGCTTCGAACCAAAGCATCACAGGTTCGATTCCCAGTCAGGGCACATGCCTGAGTTGCAGGCCACGGCCCCCAGCAACTGCACATTGATGTTTCTCTCTCTCTCTTTCTCCCTCCCTTCCCTCTCTAAAAAAATTAATAAATCTTAAAAAAAAATCTTTAAAAAATGAGTAAAAGTTGAACAGTCAATCCTGAATATCAAATAACCAATCTCATATGCCACTCTTATAAATATAAATCAGAAATCAGTAAAATCATGACAACCAACATACATTTATAAAAAGCAATTTAGTAACAATCTCATTTCCAGAGGGTCTTCAGTCTAAAACGTACTTCTATACGCCCTGTCCTACAGCTTTTTACCACTGCATTGGCTTTTATGTCACCTAGAACGGTGATTTCATGTGACCTTCATTTTAAATTAATTAATTTCTTTTAGAATAAGGGCTGTTTAATGTCTATCTTTTTTTTGGCCACTTCCCTTCATCAGTGGCACCAACCCATACTTGATACATTGCTAGTACTCAGTACTGAATTACATGGAACCCCTCTCCTTAAATTTTGCATGGTAAAACTGTGTTCGGATTTCTCAGCACCATACAGTCAGAGCCATTTGCCACTGTTCAAAATGCCTCCGCAGACTGTCCCGGCTGTTTCAAAGCTCAAAGCTCTGATACAGAGCTTCTGCAGCTGTTCCGGCTCTTTGGGAGCCTCCAGCTTAGACATGACAACTGTGGGAGGGGAGACTTTAACAATGCTTACTTGGCGGTGTCCACCGGCAGAAAGGTGGCTTATTATTAACACATCTTTAAAATGTTTTTCAGTTTTAATTTCTAATACAATCAATATTGAAAACACAATCCACCAAAATGAAAGCTCTTTGGGATAATTTTTTTTTAATCCTCACCCAAGGACATTTTTCCTCTGCTTTCAGAGAGTGAGGGAGAGAGAGAAATATCAATGTGAGAGAGAAACATCGACTGGCTGCGTCCTGTACACACCTGGATCAGGGATCGTACGTACACAGACTGGGGGTCAAACCCTCAACCAGGGTATGTGCCCTAACGGGGAACTGAATCCGCAACCTTTCAGTTACAGGACAGCGCTCCAACCAACTGAGCCACACCGGCCAGGGTGGGATATAATTTTTAAGAGGGTAAAGAAGTTCTGACTCCAAAAATTCTGAAACCTACTGCATTAAATAACTGGAAGTGTTTCAGCTTAATAGACACAACTCACACAGAGGGGCTAAATTTTTTTGAAGCACAAGATTAAAATAACTTGGACTTACACTACAGGTAAAATTAAGTACAAAACACTTCTCATAATAATATGTCTTTCAGTCTCTAAATTTTGGGTAGAACAGGCACACAGTTTCATGAGCCTCTGGAGTAGGGCACCAGCTCTCACGATCCCTCCTTTACCTGACACTGCATCGGGGGCATTGGTGTTGCTGCCACGCTGAATGAGTCTGGCTGCAAAGCTGTTTTCATCGAATGAGGTCCCATTTACCACAGGGAGGTCTTCAAAGGGGTTTACAGACTGGTCGGATGACACAGTGATGTACTGCACTGCAAGCCACAGAGCTGTGCTGCCCTCGTGGTCTTTCAGTTCTAAATCTAATCTGAAATAAGGAAGCAATGTGAATAGCAAGCACATTCTTAGACACTATGCTGACAACAGCTTCATTCTTTTTCTTTATACTTTTTAAGTGATCTTTTTTTAAAAGATTTTATTTATTTTTAGTGAGAGGGGAATGCAAGGAGAAAGAGAGGGAGAGAAACATCAATGTGTGGTGGCTTCTCGCATGTCCCCTATTGGGAACTTGGCCTGTAACCCAGGCATGTGCCCTGACTGGGAATTGAACCGGCGACCCTTTGGTTTGAAGGCCGGCGCTCAATCCACTGAGCCACACCAGCCAGGGCTAAGTGATCATTTTTAAAATGTACTTTTACTTATTAAAATTTATAACACTAAAAGACATTTAAAAATTATTTTTCACTCACAATCCCACCCTCACAACTGCTTTTTCATTTCTCCAGGTCTCCCTACGTACTGTTTACACTGCAGCAACTGATTGAACACGTATTCATTCCTGGCCATGATGGACAAGTGTAAGGGAGTCCTGCAGGATGAAGGAGAAGGGGTGTCAGTCAGAATGGGCCCAATTACTCCTAGCAGGAGACTAGAATCCTAGGCAGAATCAACATCCACAAGAAATTCCACATCTCTGCAACAGTGTCTTTTCTACCCAGGGCAGTTTTCTAAAAACAACGACCAAGTACCAAATAAAATGGGTTTGCTTATATGTTACCATTTATGCAGTAGCCAAAAGGATAAGAATCAATAAAAGCAAGAGACACAAATACTCTAAGTGTCAGTATTTAATTGGATGTTTTTAAAAGAGCAGTTTCTACCATAGGTACACATATTTCCTCCGATCTGTCCTCCACAATTCCGAAAAGAAATTTTTTCTTCCCATAATTCTCTGTTATACCCAAACACAGTCAGACTGGCCAAAGGCAGGAACTGATCAAAGTGGCAACTGACTACCCTTTGCTGTTTTATTTAGCCCTTGCGTGCCCTGAAGGAGACTGCCACACAGAGCACAGAGACCCCAGGCTGGCATCTATCTCATAGTCACAGACTGCTAGAGTTTACTGCGGTTGGGGGAAAAAAATGAAGAATCAACGGGGGGGGGGGGGGGAGAGTAATTATTTTGGGGTAATAAAATGACCATCACATGATACTGACAGTTCATGGAGACCCATCTTATTTAAGTTTTCTGTCCACCACACAAATCTATTTACCTATTCTGACTTTACCAAACTCTTTTTTTTTATTTTTTGAGGGTTTTCAAAGGTACAAAATACTGAGCTGCTATGGTGCAAAGTGAGTCCAACTTGTTGGTGATTCAGGTGGCTTCATTCCTCCTCACTGCTTCCCACACTGCTGTCCTAAAGACAAGCAGCCCTTTCTTAGATTCTAAACCACAAGGAATCCTCAACTAAATATTTCTGCAAAGGGGCAAAAGAACACGACTGCTCCTGACAAATATGCAAAGAGCGGTGCTGTGGAAGAAATGGCAAGCTGTGCAGATGGTGTTGTCTAAAGTGGAGTATTTACAAGAAGACAGAACTGGGTTTAATATAGAGAACTTCCCAATAATTAGACCTCACAGAAATACAGCTGACTGCCTCAAGAAGGTGTGCTCCACTTCTTCAGTTTACCCAAGCAACTCTAAGAAGGTTCTGTTGGAGGAGCTGAACTAGATGACCACTGTGATGATGACAGAAATGGCTTAAAAATCCAAGGACCTCAGTTATTCAGGATGGAAATGGTTTCCCCAAATGCCTCTGGCCTTAGTCATGCCTCTCATTTGCATAACAAATCAATGTCTGCGCCTTTAATAAAAATCAGATCGAATAATGCCAAACTAAACAACACAGAGTCTCTGTCTGCCAGTTACATGTCACCATAAAATAACACTCTGGAAATGGTGCTAAGAACAGTCTATTTGACCCCCAACTTACCTGCCCTTGCTGTCCTGCATGTTAGGGTTAGCACCAGCCTGCAGGAGGGCCTCTGCAATCTGTGCCATCGCAGACATCACATCTGCTGAGTGTTTCCTGGGACTGTACAATGCTACCAGGTGCAACGGTGTCTCCTGAGCACCCAAGGTAGCAGCACTGACGAGGGCCCCATTCTTAATGAGGAAAGTGGAAGCAAAGACATCTCCTGGAAAAGAAATAACAGAAGAAATGGTCACAGAGGACAATACCCAGGGCAAGTTATTCTGGCTAACGTTGCCTCAAAAAGACAGAGAGAAGCACTGGGTGTGTCTGAAGCAGAACCTCTCAGAACACCTAGAGGTGGGAACTCAGCATTGAGATCACAGAATTACATACTTGAATTCAAAAGGCTTCGTTCAGTTTCTGATTCCGTGTTATCTGTCCTGCCCCCTCACCTCAGGATCACTTCACTATTTAAGTATACCGGGTTCCTGTCCTTCAAGAGCCTCTCCTGTTCATCAACTCTCAAAAGGGGTTCCAAGATTTCTCCCCAAAAGAATTTATTTCCCTCTCATTCCCTCCCCAGTCTATATGCAAGCCACACCTGCCTTCTACCTGCTGCATTTGCCTACAGGTTCCTCTTCAGATGAAGACCACGTCTGATTTATTCATTGTGATTATAATGATTCTTTTTTTCTCAATCTTATTACATGCAAACACAATAGTCTTAACAAGTTTACAACAGAATATTTGAATAAACAATCTGTACACATTATCGTTTACAAAAAAGTTCACGTGGTAAATTAACTGGATGTAAAAAACAAAATTTCTTTCTAATTCTTAGTGTATTACATGTAGAAGAAGCTAACCAGGACTACCAAGTATCAAATTGAAACTGAGTAACTTACATAAAAATCAAATGACTTCAACAGCTCAGGCTACCACTTTTGCCTATTTAGCATTCTGTATGAGGGAAAAGAACTACCTTGACATCCTGACAAAAGGCCAAGAATTAAGTTAACATAAAGATATTCAAGGTATATAATTCTGAGAATATCTTATCATAGACTAGCAAAGAATAGATGACTCTAGATTGGTTGTGAATACATGGTTAAATTCAGAACCAAGCTATCTGACAAGTGGCAATGTAATGTTATAAATACTTGTAGAAAACCAGTTAAAGTATCTTGTCAAGGTATCTTGGAGGGTGATAGGGATTAAGGAATTAAGTTTGTTGTAAGATTACTTAAAGTTCGATCTTCCTTAGATTTAGTTCAATTTATAATTTAAAATATGTATAAATCACTACAAAAATTAACATTTCTTAAGAAAATAAGGCAAGAATGACAATGCATCATAAGATAATAAACTATTAACAGAGATGTCATCCAGCTATAAATGCACAATGCATGTGCTGAGACATTTCAGCAGGGGGGAAGCAATTGTTTCCTCCAGTGGCCTCCACGTAGCCCAATGAGCTCACAGCTGCGCAGTCTCTCAAATCAGACTCATCCACACTTTGACAGTCTACCTGCCTGACTTTGGTGGGTGTGCCAGAGTACATATCTTGGTCATCCCAAGAGCTCATCTGGGATTGAGAGGTACTTTCTGTAGATTCCGTCCCCATTTCACCAAGGTTGATACAGGGTTAATTTCTTGCAAATCACACCCTTCTTTAGCTGGAAGATCCCCCAAATGCAGAGCAACCTCCCAGGTTGATTTGCTGGTCCTGTGATCATTGATTGTACTTCTTAAATTCACTGGAGGTCTTGGGATGAATGCCAGGTTGTTAAAGGCGCTTTGGAACTTATTCAAGATATCGATTATAGGCAACGATGCTCTTTCCATAGTTGATCTATTTTGTCTTTGCATCAGGAAACTTTCATCTGTTTCTAATTCTGTTCATGTTGTAGACACACTCCTTTGAGTCACAATTTCCAGATAATGATTTTCTCCTAAAATCACTGGTGAGAGGTTTTCTTTTGTATCTTGCAATCATTTCATCTTCTTCAACTATACCTATGTCGTCTAAATATCCAGAATGAGGCTTACCGTTCCAGGAGTGGCCAAACTCCAATCTGTTATCAATACTCCTATGTTCATTTTCATTGAATGTATGGGTTTCACCGGGTCTTCAGTGAACATGGAATTTCAAATCACCTGGTTTTCAACAATTCCACGTGCTTTGTACTCTCCTCCAAGGGACCATCCTACCGGGGAACGTGAGCTCTGGCACTGAGGTGGCTAGGCCACCACAGGCCCCTCAAGTGCTGATTAGTCCACGTCTCATTTGTTTTTGTATTCACTACTGTCTTATACAAAACAGGCACCAGGGCAATGTTTGGAAAGAAAATTAATTGACTGGTCAAGGCTATTAAGTTCCACTTTACAGACTGGCTCTAATTCCAATTAATTATGCCTTCAGGTAACTTAAGACTTCTCTAATTAACACATTCTGAAATATTCTCTCTCTCTTCTGCCCCATTTTTTCTTAGGGGCTGGGGGAAGATGCAATCTTTACCATCATCATGAGGACCAAAGCTTAGATAGAGCTCTTTACAACAGGGTGTCGGCAGAGCTCTGAAAGCACCTGGTAACACACACATCAGGGGGCCGCGCTGAGTCGGGCCACTGCTCTCGGCACATGGATATCCACACACACAGTGGGGTCCTCACTGGAGCTCTAACATAGTATGAACAGCCCCCACAGAGATTCAGACTAGGAGAACGTATGTAAACACAATACATTAGCAAGAGAATAAAATATCCTAGAGAAAGCCACTTACATTCTGAAAGTGGAAAGAAAATTTAGAGTTTAGGACGAAAAACTTTAAAATAAATAATATAATATATAAGACACTGGGGAAAAGGTGGAATGTGGTTCCATTACCTTTAAGGTTGTCATATATTCCATATTAAAAGGTAAATTGATAGTAAAGATAAAATAATATAGTTAATAAAAAACTTATCATACATTACACATACAGAAGATAAACTGGGTAGTCCTGCACATAGAAATAAGGGTACAACCTTTCAATGCTTGGATTCAGGTGGAAAGTATAATAAAAATTTTCTATATTTGAACCCTCTTAAAAGAATTATAGCTTTTAGATTAGATTTAATAAGAACCAAAATTTTGGGGTTTGGTTCTGCTTTTTTTTTTTTACTTAAACATATATATGTACATATACCTATGGACCCCAAAAAGTTACTGAGGAAATGCTGGAAATTGAAAATTTATGATGTTTCACATTAAAAGAAAGTCAGCCCATAGGTACAAAACCTAGAGAAAAAAGATAACTGACAACAAAAGAGCAGAACAAAGAAAGGGAACAGAAAACACCAAAAGGACCATTTATGAAGTTCCTGTCAATATGATAACTTCTAATACATTTCAGAAAGATTTCTATAAAAAACAGTTAAAATTAAAACGGACACTTAAATGTTTCCGTTACTTTATCATCTCATTCACAACACTGTCAGGTAAAGGAGGCATTATTATGACTTGTCCACATAAAAATATTCCTACCAACAGAGTTGACATTAAAAATCCCACATACAATTTTTTTCTTTCACTGCAGCTCCACGGTAGAAGTTTTGGAACAGCCAGTAACTTTCATTACTTAATTAATACAAACTGTGTCTTATGCTGTGCCCACTGGTGACATAATTTGCAAACCTACAAACCATTACACAGGAGTATCCTATTTGAGAGACACACTGATTGATGTTCACTGTTACGGAAAATCAGCACAAGAAGAACTAGCTTTTTTAAAAAGCGAGGATTCATCATCTTGCCCACACATCTAGCTAATCAAAAGAGATGGCTTCCTGCTGGCCATGCACATACCTCCTGTGGACTCACCCACAGACACTGGCTGCCTGTTGCATTCTGGACACAAACTGATCGGTATACTTGGTTACTTGAGTGATCACTGACTATTTTGTGTATAGATAGTGTCCAGAAACATGTGTCCAGAACCATTCCTAAATCTCATGTATGAAAGATCTTCACTCTTATAATGAACTTAAAGTAAGGTTAACAGCTCTAGTTGAGGAAGGAAAAGTGAAAAAACTTCCTACAGGATTGGAGCTAGTAGCAACACTCCACCACAGGGCTAAGGTGAGATCTACAGGCTGACCCTACCACACATAGTCACTGTGTGAGGTGTGCTGCCAACATGGTCTCTCATCCTCCCAACAACCAGTAGAGAAATGAGTCCCACTTTACAATGAGGAAAGAGAGACCCAAGTGGTTAAGTGACTTGTCCAATGAGCCAGGATTCTAACCATGGTACATCCAAGCTCCAATGCCAGTGCTGTGTCCACTACGCTGTGCCACACTCTCCAAAAATTAGCAGCAATCAAGTTTACCCACACTGCAATCCACAGGCTTGCAGGCAACTGATAAATTCAGAGTGGAAAATTAAATCATCTGAAAATAAGCATCAAGAATGCATCACCAATTCTTGGCAATTCCTGTAACTAAGCAATCACCAAAATATTTAATAACTCATCAAAGATGTTTTTTCATCACACATAAGAATTTAACTCCCTAAGAGGAAAGAAACATAATTCTGAGGTTGTTTTTTTAGAAACATGTCTATTTGTTTCCAAAATAAACATCTCAGACACTAAACAGTATGGGAAAGAATAATTCCCTGTGTGGTAGTAATTCTCCCCACTGAACACACACCCATTGCTAAGCACCCAATGGCTTTGCACGGCGTAGAGTGGTGCTTGGGAAAAATGCGTCTGCTCTTGACACTGATGTACTCTAAGGATTTCCTCCCCGATGATGAACACATTTTTCCTTTCCATCAGCCAGCAAGCTTAACACTCTAGCACATGGCTTAGAGGGATATTTATATTACTAAAAACCTTTCCCCAAAAAGGGCAAAGCCACAGCTGCAACAGAACCATATTTGAAATAACTACATTCTACCCATTAAAAGCAACCTGTGAATGACAGAAGCGTAGCAGAGACAATAATACTGCAATAATGCATAACTGAAAGGGTAAATATGCATGATTAAGATGTGGGGGAGCCAGTACACTTTGTCTTTGATGTCCACATGTAAACAAAAAAGGGGCCAATTACTTCAAGCAAGTCCTCTGTCCCTCTACAAAATTAAGGCTTTGGCGTTTTTGAAAGTTTTCAGTCTATACTGGAATGCTATCTCTACAGCTTTCCACCCTGTCAAAATGACAACTGCAAAGTAGAGGCAGGCAGGGTCCATTTGGGACTTAAGAATTAATAAGGTCATGGGAAAAACAAAACAGAGTCAGACAAGACATACTTTTTTTCCCTTGAAAAGTAAATTCATTAAGATTAAAATGTTCTGATCTTAATTCTATCACTTCTATATCCTTCCCACTACTAACAACTATGTACTCAAAATATAGCTACAATTTATAACATTTGCTTGTAGCTACAAAAACAGAATGAACCTTAATCACTTTGCCATGACAGAAGAAAAGACAACTCTGAACCTAAGAATATGTTTAAACATTTGTGGTTTAGATACTGTCCCTCTCTTACAGTAACTGTTACAAGTAAAGTCTTCCCAGCACAATTCCTGGAGAAAGATCTTGAAAAGCAAACAAATCAATGGCTTACAAGCGAAAGGTACTTCTCTACCTTTTCTTCCGGAGCCCCGCAAACACTAGGAAGAACCTCACCAACAAGGCACAGGCAACCGTTCAGCAGTCCCTCCCTGACCCACTGATCACAAATTCCCAGTCATGTAGCCCCTGAGTACAGACTCGAGAAGCCTTTATGAACTGTGGAACAGGGTCAGAGCGTCTTCAAAAATTACCTGGATGTGAGTAAAATTGCCTGCAGAGAAAAAAATAAAATACACTTCTTCCTACCTCTTTGGATTCCTTTATGTAACAAGCTCCAGCCATTCTTATCTACCATGTCCACGTCAGCCTTGTGACTAACCAGCGTGGTGGCAATACTCTCTAGTCGTCGTGAAAGAGCTAGGTCTAAGGCAAGATCTCCGTTATGGTCCAATTCATTCAGCTTCCCAGGGAGCTGCACAGATAAATTTGTAAATTAGCACCCGGCCAGTAGAGGATTCAACTGATTTTAATCTCTCCCACCTTGATTCTTAAGTATCATCTCTTATGAAAATGTGAAAATTTAGCTCACTCCCCAAATTCAACTGCATTGGCAAACTTCTCTCAGGACTCCTCAGGGTACATGCCTTTCAGGGAGGCCGGAATGAACGGGGAACCACAGAGCAGGTGTGAATACTAGGGAAGGCAACACAAGGCCCAACGGGAAGTGCAGCAGCGCTGGGAGAACACTGCAGGAACACAAGTGCCGGGGCAGAGGTGCAGAGTGCCTGAGGGGAAACAGCTGGTCTTTCCATAAAGACCATGGCTTACCTATTTAATCTCCTCTGGCAGTTTAATGTCTCCCCTGACACTGGACACCCAAGAATGAAACATACTATTCACCAACTGTCAAAAGCAACTGCACTTCTTCTAAGGCAGTGTGACAGGCAGAATAACAGCCCCAGAAACATCCTTATCCTAATACCCAGAACCTATGAGTATGTCACCTTACACGGATAAAAGACACTTTGCAGATATGATTAAGGACCTTGAGATGGTCCAGCAGAGCCCAGTCTATCCAATCACATGAGCCCTTTAAAATGAGTAAGAGAAGCAGGAGAGTAGGTCAGAGAGATGTGACACTAGAAGAATTTGACCCACCATTGTTGGCTGTGTAGATGGGGGAAGGTGGCCATGAGCTAGGGAATGTGACAGCCTCTTGCAGCTACTAGCTTGTAGCTCAGCTTGTAGCTCTGCTTGTAGCCAGCAGGAAAATTGGGATCTTGGTCCTGTAGCCACAAGGAACTGAATCCTTCCAACCACCCAGATGACCAGGAAACAGATTCTCCCCTAGAGCCTCTAGAAAAGAGCACAGCCAGCTTGCCGACACCTTGTACTGTACTACCAACCTACAAAACTGTAAGAAAATAAATATTTGTTGTTTTAAGCCATTAGTTTCATGGTAGTTTCTTACAGCAGCAAAAGAAAACTAGAACAATTTTGGTATCTAAAAGCTGGACTGTGCTGTAACAACTACCTAAAAATGTGGGAGTGGCTCTGGAATTGAGCAATGGGCACAGGCTGGAAGAATTCTGAGGAGCATGACAGAAAAGGCTCAAATTGCCTGCAACAAATGACTAGTAGAAATACTGCACTAAAAACTATACCAGTAATGGCTCAGAGAAAAACAAGCCAAGTATAGTTTGGGGAAAAGGCATGAAAAATGGGAAAAACAACAATAACAACAACAACAATAACCAGATATAGTACCTGTGAATCCATTTCAATTAGGTAAAGAAAGACCACATCTTCTCTCTCCACTTTGATAGCTTTATGTAAGGGGTACTCAGTCTTGGATTTGATCATTTTGTACAACAGCTGAGCACTCATGCTGCTGAAGTCCTCTTTTCGTAAATCATCCTAAGGATTAAAAAGATGGTGAAAAGCACAACAGATTGAACATAACAATAGCAACTGACATTCACTAAGAAGCTCCTAGAACTGTCTGGCACTACTTTAAAGGGCTTAGTATTTCCCAACTCATTTAATCCTCACAAAAACCCTATGAGGCAGGTACTGTTACCATTTCCATTTCACAGCTGAAGTAAGTGAAGCATAAAGAGGCTAAACAACTTGCCCAAGTTCACACAGTGACAAATGGCTGAGATGGCCTCGACAGGCAAGAGGCCCACCTCCCAAGCCCGCATTCTCTACCACAGCACTGCTGTGCCTCCTGGTGAGACTGTAACGCACAGGCGACACTGACAGCCAGCAAGGACGCAGCCCTGAGGGGCCCTCCACGAGTGAACAGAGTCCTTGTCCCCGCCCCTACAAAGATGGCAATTCCAGAAGTAACTGGAACCTCCACAAACAATTCATTCTGTTGAGTCGCAACTGAGCTGCTATTGCAGATCTCTAAATTTGTACCTATTTTAGAAGAAAGGTTACCGTTCCTGCTTTAATTCTTTAAAACTCAATTCTTTTAGACAGTTTTGTTCAGTGTTGTTGAACACCAAATAATTTGCAGAGACTAGGCTATAAAATACGGCATTATCTGTAACTTTTTAAAAATGCAAAACAGACAACAAAACATAGAAATACAAAAACTATTTTTTATGATGAAAGCTACCTAAGAAGGGAAAATCCAAATTTAACAGTGCTCTCCACAGGATGGAGAAAACACAGGGGAGCCCCTGAAATGGAAATGCCAAGCACGGCCTGCTTGCCGGCCCCGGCCCCGCGGTGGCACCTGCTCGCCCAATGGCAGCAGCTGCTCCCACAGCTCCTGGCCTCCCCTTCTCAGGTGGAGGGTGAAGATAGCTGTACCTTCGTTCTAAGCTTCTTTTTTTGACCTGAGCTACTTGCCCTTTACTCTGAAATCAGAACTAGGAGACTTTCTGAGCCAAAAAAAGAATCTCACGGACCACATAATGCAACTACTTCGCCTTCGATTTTGTAGTAAGAGGAAACACGCACCAGAGAGGTAATCTGCCAGGGAACTAGGTCTCACACCCAGGTCTTCTGACTTCCAGCGAGGGTGCTCCGTCCACACCCTCACTCCCACTCACCCAATGACTCGCAATAATTTCTGCACAGTAGTTCATCAGGGTGCTGGCATTTAGTTCCTCCGCAGTCTGATAGAAGCGAATACAGTTCCTGACATTCACCAGAGACATAACACCCTTCTCACATCTACAAGAGAGTATAAATGATGAACATTATTAGGACAAATATATTCATAAATTAACAAACCAAAGCAATAATCTGTGTATGGTGGGTATGTCCAATGACACTGAAGTGTAAGAGTAAGAAAAGTAGTTATGAATAAGTTATAGTTGAGCCACCATATTGTGAAAGTATTGGAATTTCATTATGAAATTACACTGCTCATTCAGAACCCAAATAAAATATAAGTACATGTTATGCATAATCCCCCAACTGCCTTAAAAGTAATCACATGAAGTTCGCAGATCATATACACAGACCACCACTGTCAAATCAAACACACAACGGGCCAAGTTCAGACCTGATCGTTAATCGCATGGGACACAACTGCCATGCCCACTAGCATGACTCTCTCGTGCAATCAGTATGGCTGAACGACAGCTGCAGAGAGTAGGCTCTGTGCCTACATACACTGATAGGCCCTTAAAAGTCCTCCCAAAAGGTAAACTATTGGTTATGTGAATTGTAACTCAATAAAGTTGTTTTTTAAAAGTCCATTTAAAAGAAATCTATCATGTATAGAAACAATTGCATTAGTAAAAACCATAGTATACCAAGACAGTGAAAAGCTGGCTGCAATGGATATCCCATAAAACCTGGTAACAACAATAACAATAATCACTGATAGGAGAACAACTACATCGGAGAAGAGAGGACTACACACAGGCAAGCGAGCCTCTGGAAGCACAAAACAGGCACAAACCCTAGTCTGGAAGACGCAGTGCTGGAAGACCGGGGCTTCCACTACCCAGAACTGGAAACCTTACTGAGCCTGGGGACAAGAAGGAAGGAGGCTGGTGGTATGATCCTTCCATCTCCCTTGCATGTACATTTTCCTCCAAATCAGGTTCACTTCCACAGACAGCAGAGAGACCAAATATAGTGTTGGGGTATTCACTACACCCCACCACTGCTTCCTCTGTTCCACAGTCCCCACAAAAACCCTTTGCTGATCACAACGTAGTAGTAACGAGAACAAAATGAACTACAAGATAAGAAACACCTGAGTCTGAGATCCACTGAACTTTAGAGGCCAGATTATATAAGCCCTCTGTGCCCCTATCTCGCCCTCTGTAAATACTCTGTATCAGAGGTTTAGAGGATCTGTGTTTTTCAAGATAAAACTATATAAACTTTGTACAGTATAAGGTACATAATAAGTATGCTCATAAGTCCAAGGCCCTTCTCAAGGAAGTCGCTTAATAACTAGTATGAATGGGCTTCAGTAGTATTATAAATAAGAGTAACAGACTGACTAGCAGGTAATTCCCTAGTTTAACAGGTGAGGTTTAGTTAACAGAAATGGAGAAAGACCATGGGAGAGTGGGAGATGGAGGAAGAAAGGAGAGTCACAAGAAAGACCTGAGAAGAATAAGGAACAAACTTCCAAAATCTCACAAATGAGACCTTATGGTAGACGCAAGAATAATCTCAGTCATTTCTCCATCCAGCTGTAAATGTAGGCACCTAAATTTATTTAAGCATTTATATTTAAATGCTTAATTTTTTTTAATCCTCACCTGATGATATGTTTTTTAAATTGATTTTAGAGAAAGGAAAAGGGGGGCAGTCAGGGAGGGAGGGAGAGAGAAAGAAGGATCAAAGTGAGAGAGAAACATCTGACCAGCTGCCTCCTATATGCATCCAGACTGGGGATCAAAGCTGTAACCCAGGTAGTGCCCTGATCAGGAAGGGAACCTGCAACCTTTTGGTGTATAGGACAACACTTCAACCAACTGAACCACCAAGCCAGGGCTAAATGCTTTTTTAAGTAACATAGATGCCTTCATGTAAAGAGGCATCACTCCCAGGACACTTTTAAATCAAATCGTTACAATATCTAAATAAGTTACTATAATAATGAGTAACAGTTACATTTTTGAGCCTCCTGTCTACCTGTCTTAACCACTAATTCCCACAAACTCCCACCACACCACAGCAATGTTTAGGGAAGTCATTCTGACCTTGGCTATGAAATCAGGACATTCCAGGACAGAAGGATTCCACTTTTTATATATATATGAAACTTTTGCCTCTTTTACAATGACAAGTATCCATGGTCTTGCCATCCTAGTGTCCTAACACATGGTATAATCTCAGGGAGTACTGACTCACATTTGTAGGCCACTTTACAAACACATTTACAGACAATGCTTAATGAGTCTGAAAATTCCATTCTCTTCTTTTGTACTGCCAAGAGACACTGGACCAAGACAGTTACTATGTTTCCTGAGGACAGATGTTTTGTTACAACTGGCAGGCACTTCATTTTCACTAAACTCTGGGATCCCCAGAATATCATTCACTATTTGAATAAGCTATAAATACTAATGGACATGATTTACACAACTGAAGAACATGTAATCTTTTTAAAATTTATTTTAAAATATGTTTTATTGATTATGCTATTACAGTTGTCCCATTTTCCCCCTTCACTTCCCTCTACCCTGCATACCTGCTCTCACCCACATTCCCCCCTTTAGTTTATGTCCATGTATCATACTTGTAAGTTCCTTAGCTTCTACATTTCCCATACTCTTCTTGCCCTCCCCCTGTCTATTTTCTACCTACCATCTATGCTACTTATTCTCTGTACCTTTTCCCCCTCTCTCCCCCTCCCACTCCCCTGTTGCTAACCCTCCATGTGATCTCCATTTCTATGGTTCTGTTCCTGTTCTAGTTGTTTGCTTAGTTTGTTTTTGTTTTAGGTGTGATTGTTAATAATTGTGAGTTTGCTGTCATTTTACTGTACATATTTTTTATCTTCTTTTTCTTAGGTAAATCCCTTTAACATTTCATATAATAAGGGTGTGGTGATGATGAACTCCTTTAACTTGACCTTATCTGAGAAGCACTTTTTCTGCCCTTCCATTCTAAATGATAACTTTGCTGGATAGAGCAATCTTGGATGTAGGTCCTTGCCTTTCATGACTTGGAATACTTCTTTCCAGCCCCTTCTTGCCTGCAAGGTCTCTTTTGAGAAATCAGCTGACAGTCTAATGAGAACTTCTTTGTAGGTAACTGCCTCCTTATCTCTTACTGCTTCTAGGATCCTCTCCTTCATTTTAATCTTGGGTAATGTAATTACGATGTGCCTTGGTGTATTTCTCCTTGGGTCCAACTTCTTTGGGACTCTGAGGTTCCTGGACTTCCTAGAAGTCTATTTCTTTTACCAGATTAGGGAGGTTCTCCTTGATGATTTGTTCAAATAATTTTTCCACTTGTTGCTTTTCCTCTTCTCCTTCTGGTACCCCTGTAATTTGGATGTTGGAATGTTTAAAGATGTCCTGGAGGTTCCTAAACTGTCATTTTTTTCGAACTCTTGTTTCGTCATTCTTTTCTGGTTGGATGTTTCTTTCTTCCTTCTGGTCCACTCCATTGACTTGAGCCCCAGCTTCCTTCCCATCATGGTTGGTTCCCTGTACATTTTCCTTCATTTTGTTCAGCATAGCCTTCATTTTTTTTTTTCATATAATTTGCGACCAAATTCAACCAATTCTGTGAGCATCCTGATTACCAGTGTTTTGGACTGTACTTCTGATAGGGTGGCTATCTCTTCATCACCTAGTTGTATTTTTTTCTGGAGATCTGATCTGTTCTTTCACTTGGGCCATTTTTTCTGTCTTGATGCACCTGTTACATAGTAAGGGGCAGAGCCTTAGGTGTTCACCAGGGCAGGGCAACCCAGTTGCTGGGTTATGAGACTGTATGTGGGGCAGGGGTCCGAGAGGGAACAAGGCACTTGCTCTGTTCTCTGCCCGATTTCAGTCACTTCCCCCGCTTCCTCCAAGCAAACTGGGCCCTTCTGGTGCTGATTCCCACGTGGGTGGGTTTGTGTATGTTCTAGGACCCTGTGGGTCTCTCCAATGAACTCTGCTGGGAGTTCTCCCGCTGCTGCCTCAACCCCCACAGGTGTTTTCAATCAGAGGTTTGAGGCTTTATTTCCCCGAGCTGGGGTCCTTGGCTGCACAATCCATCTTGCTTCCTAGTTGTTTCTCCTGGTTTATCTGCGTGCAAATGTGGGACAACCCGCTCCACCAGCCACTGCCTCTCCGGGTCCACCAGCTGCCACCTTGCCTCGAGTCCTTTCTGCCCAGCTGCCCGACTCCGCCCGTCCTACCGGTCTGGATGAATGTTTCTTCTTCATCTTCTTGGTTGTTGGACTTCCATACAATTCAATTTTCTGTCGGTTCTAGTTGTTTTTTGTTTTTAAATTGGTGTTGTCCTTTTTTGGTTGTGCGAGGAGGCACAGTGTGCCTATGCCTCCATCTTGGCCGGAAGTGGCCATGTAATCTTATTTTAAAATTCAAATTCTCAGTTCATATCTTCTCTCCAAAAAGGAGCAAGTCAGACTAACTTTTTTTGAAGGGATTTTGTTGTTAATACATTCTTAATTAGAATACAAGAAAGATATAGATGCACAAAAAAAAATAAACTTGATTTTTTAAAAATACAAAATCAAGTGTATATTTGGGTCCCACAAGTTCCTGTCTAGTTTTGGTATCATTCCCATGTGTCTAAATGACAGACACAAAAAATTACTGTAAAGATAAACAGTGAACAGCTAACATTGGTTGAGTTATAGATGACCTGGTTTTCTTCTTTATACATTCTATATTTTCCAAGTAACATACACTGAACATAGATTTTAAAAAAAGGAAAAAATTGTTATTTTAATGGTCAATTTTTAGCATACACTATTAATTATTGTTTTTAAAGAATATTTTCCTAGCCCTGGCTGGCATAGCTCAGTGGATTGAGCGCGGGCTGGGAACCAAAGTGTCCCAGGTTCGATTCCCAGCCAGGGTACATTCCTGGGTTGCAGGCCAGAACCCCCAGCAACCACACATTGATGTCTCTCTCTCTCTCTTTCTCCCTCCCCCTCTTCCCTCTCTAAAAATAAAATCTTTTTTTAAAAAAAGTATTTTCCTGATAATACAAAAACAATTTTCTTCTCATAAAACTGATGATAGCATTCCCAGACCACCTAGATCCCTACATTACAAAAATGAGAGACATCAACTTCATATTTAACTGCACACATTCCTGCCAAGGCTCTTTTGCCTATTTTCTCAAATGTGTAATTTCTCCTGCCAGACAGCAGGGGGCACTCTGTGATCTTTAAAAGCCAATATTTGAATCCACTCCTGGGTATCTTCCACTCCAGTTCTTAACAGAGCCCTGAAAAGACAGCAACTTAATACTACATCCAACAATACAAAATCCAGCCTGGTAATGTTGATAGTTAGGAAGCCTAATCAGTCAATAAACAACAAGCATTTTAATTAAAGAATTCATTACACAGATTACAATGATCTAAACTACTCCAACCCTACAGCATTTTTATCAAAACAATTTAATTTATAAGTGAGTTTGACAATGTCAGTGGAAGAAGGCTCAGGAAATCCTGAAAAGAGATACAAATCACATTCAATCTAATTAAAATCACTGTCATTTCACTCTCAGATGGTTCAAAAACTCACACAAACAAACGAAAGAGTTAACTGAAAAGCCCTGACAGTAAAGTTAGCTTCACTAACCTAAGCCTCGTGTGCTTACAAATCCTAGACCTATTCCGGTTTTTTCTTAGTTATTGGATTTAGGTATTCAAATGCACTCGAGCGCACATCAATCATAGACAGTTTGGAGTAACCTATGTACTGACTCACATGGGGCACAAGGGGCCACCCCCTGCCCCCCAGGAGACATCAGCCCCACAGTGAAAACAGTAATAAGCAAAGTCTCTCTTAGCTCTCTAGGGGCAACACAGCAAGGGCTGGAGTGCCTCTTAATGGCTGAAACTATCCCTTCACCCAATCAGGAGCAAACCCCTTTCTTCACACACGCAGGAGAATACAAGAAAATCACAAAATGTCGTAAAAAGACACTCCATCTACCAAGCTGACTGCCAAGGGCCAACATCTCCAACAGAAACTAAAGGGAGCCTGATATTTAGTGAATGTTTTGTTTCTTATTGCTCTGAGAGGCCAACTTGGGAGAGCAATAGAAAAAAATGCAATATAAAGAACATGGCAGGCTATCTCTTTGGGAACCTAAACAGCAGTAACAAATGAAGTAGGATCTCAGAAATGTATTGAGCCATACTCTTGAGTGTTAATTTAATGTGTTTCCAACAAACAGAGTATGACCAAGAACTGCTTTCAAGTAGAAGATGAGAAAGTAAAGTAAAATGTCAGCCCTGGCTGCTGTGGCTCAGTGGTTGAGTGCTGGTCTGTGAATCAAAGGGTCACCGGTTCGATTCCCAGGCTAGGGCACTGCCTGGGTTGCAAGCCAGGTAGGTCTCCAGTGGGGGGCATTAGAGAGGCAACCACACATTGCTGTTTCTCTCCCTCTCTTTCCCTCTCCCTTCCCTCTCTAAAAAATAAAAAAACAAAAGAAAGAAAAAAAAGGAGAAAAAATAATAAAAATAATAAAATGTCAAAGGAAAAGGTATAGGAGGGGAAGTTGAGGGTTTGGACACTGGATTACATTATTCTTAGTCAATGTATTAATTCACAGAATTGTATAATCTCAGGTAATAAACCAGTGCAGGGAAAAAAGAATACCTAAAAGCTTTAGCAAACTTTAACTTACAGAATAACACAGAACAAGGGAGATAAAATTCTCTCCTCCCTATAGCCTTTAAAAGAACGCCTTGCAAAAGTTATTTACATTAGCAGGAGAAGCTGTTTTCCCAGAGCTTGGCATAATTAAAGCTCAGCCACCACCATCTGAGGTGCTTGAATATATCTGCTGTGACTTGCCTCTCCCTAAGGAGCTGGAGCTGAAACCGATTAGCTAGTTTCATCAACTCAGTCAGGAACACATCATCTTCTCTGAACTCCAACTCATCCGTATAGATCCAGCGAAGCATTGTCATTGTCACCTCAGGATTAGCATCTGGTTAAAGAAAAAAAGTAGAGAAACTGAAAACAAAGCACTGATAACACTGAAGCCTTCTTGAGGACCCCTAAAATTTGAGGCTAATGAAGTATATTTTGGTACACCCAACTCAAAGAAATATCAATATACACAATTAAAAATGGTGATTAAGCATTCTGGGCAGCATCTGACACCAGAAAAGTGTTAAGAGTTTTATAAAAGGTGGTAGGTGGGGGAAATGAACCTGTTAAAGATATAAGCTAAAAAACAAAACAAAACAAAAAAAACCCTTGGGGGAACATATTTTAAACATATCACAAAGAGTTTACATTCTAATAAAAAGATCTTACAAAAAAATAAAAGGATGAACATACAATGAAAAGAGGCAATAGATATGAGTAGGTAATCACAAAGATAAATTAAAATGGCCAATAAATCTTACCAATAACTAAATACAAATTTAAACTAGAATACATTTTTTCTCTCTCAGACTAGCAGTCTTAAAAGTTCATAACCTTTTACATAGCAGCTATATATGTAGATTATTATCCTAAGAAAATAACTGAGCAAATATGAAGAAATACATGTATCAAGATAGTCAATACAGTATTATTTTTAATTAACAAACTGGAACAAAAATTTTAAGAGTCCAACAACAGAGAACAAATTAAATAAATTACAATATATTCACATGCTGGAAATATTCCATCAATTAAAATTTACATCTATATTCAGCATGTGAAGATATTTAGTACATAGAAGGTTTAAAAAGTAGGCTAAAAATGCATTATATATCATTTTTGTTAGCTCTATTTGTGTGTGTGTATATATATATGCATGTATGAGTGTATACACACACACCCCACACATACACAGCTCTGTGTTTGTCTCCCAAACAAGCACTAACCAGGTCTGGCCCTGTTTAGAATTCTAGAATCAAGGGCATTCATTCAGTGTGGTAAGTGGCCATAGGCAGATTGATTGTTTATCTGTCTGTCTGTCTATTGAGGGATTAGATGAATATACACTAAAAACTAACCCTGATGAAATTCATAATAATTTTTCTTTTATTTTCCCCAGATTTTTATTTAATGAACATATATTACTCACACACTTAAGTTAAAGACTACAGCAACTTCAGGAAATGCTCCAGATAAAAATCATAGTTAAAAACATCAAAATGATGATTTCAACTAGAGCCAATTCTTAACTAGCAGTGATGATTAGAGGGCCACATAAAACTATGGTAGACATCAGTGGTTCTGTCCCAGGCTAGCAGAATCAGCATCATCTGGGAACGTTTTAGAAATTCTTATTCTCAGGCCCACCCCAGACCTCTGGCAGCAGGGCCCCGCACTGGTGTTTTAGCAAGTCCCCATGTGATACTGATGACTTCCTATGGTTTAAGAAACTACGCTCAAATCTTGATGGTCTGGGAAAGGTGAAACATGGACCAGTAACATCTTACTAACCCATTAATTAGGCAAGAACTGATGAGCTCTTATTAACCTCTTTTCTTCCAACTGTAGTGGGAGATAAAAAAGCCAAATATTAAACAAAAAACAAAAGGCGCTAAAAAAGAAACTGTGAAAGAAAATACACCAAGGTGCTAACAGTGATTATGTTAAAAGGCTTATTTTTTCTTTTCTTTCTTACCTGGTAATGAATAGCACTTTTAAATGTTTTGAGAGAAACATTTTAAAATCAGACAACATTCTAACTAGATTTACTTAAAGAATGAGGTTGACGAAACACTTCAACTGATCTAAGGTATATAGAGCAAATCTTGGGAGTAGGATGAATTTCAAAGCTAGCTTTGTAAATTGGGTTTAATACCTCAGTGGTCTCTTAATGAAAGAAACAAATATGTAAGTCATATGATTTGTCCAGTCACCCAAAACACCAAAACTGGGTGTACTATCCCTCTCACACAGCCTCATCTTGGAAAGACAGCTAATCCTAAAGGCAACAGAGTCCCCAACATCACCATATTCAAACGTCTTCTCTGTTGGTAGTTTCTTTAATTCTGTTTTAAAGTCTGTCTGGTTCCCTTTAAGAACCTTCCCTCAAATTGCCCAAACCAATAAACTTGATTTGTATAACTGATAAACCAAAACCTAAATAATTTTTTCAAAGCTACCACCAGTAGGGATTTCCTGGAAAGCCCCCAAAATTTCAAAAAAGATTCAAGTGATCTCCAAGCATTCCCACTCCTGCCTTGACTCTTCCCTTAATCTCCAAAATATGCTGAGAATAAATCTATTTTGAGACTCACACTAATCAGCCAGTGGGATAAGGTGGGCAGAGAACACCGAACCGGGGGAGGTGTGTGCTTTCAACTGTGAACTGTTCGGCAACATAAACTCTACTTCCAATGTATATATACTTAAGCAATGAATACTTAAGCCAATGGCCATAAGAGTCGGATGACCCCATAAGCCAAGAGTTACCTTTAAAAGAAGCAGACTCTAAGCAGTGAAACGAGCTGATCTCCACGACCAGTGTGTGTATCTGCTGCTAGCAGTAGCACCCCCCTCAGAAGGCCCCGCACACGTGCTGGCTAGAGACTGCAAGGATGAGAAGAAACAACACCCAAACGCCTGATTTCACTGTAGTCCAAGATGCACGCACACACACACACACATTTTGGAGAAATTGAGACTGTTTATATAGCCAAGGCTTTTGTTGTTATTGTTGTTTTAATCTGATTTTAAACAAATGTTTTACAAGACATTTGAAGAAAAACGGGAATAAACTCATCTGCATTTAATTAACCATAAATGAAGCACACCGAAGAAATTAATTTTGTTACTAATTTTGTATATCCTGTTTAATCCGTCAAAAGCTGAGAAAGGTGTTTTCAATCTCCTACTATGTATGACTCTGATTTAATTAAATTGTCTTTGAGTTTTCCACTATTTTTTCTTCCCCTACTTTACCAAAGTTTTTGATTCATAAAATTAAAAACTCATGACAGATTGCATATTTTATCAGTAAAAACACCCTCTGTAGTCAGCTTAAGGCTGCACCCTTAAATATAAGTTCTTAGAAATAAAAATAACCCCCAAACCATACTTCTAAATAATCTATGACAAAAAGAAGTAAAAGGATAGAGGTTCTAATTCTGTTACCACAATGTAACAACCCATCCTATTTTAACTGTGTACAGCTAAAAACTCTAGACAGAGTATAAGAAAACACCAACCTGAGGATTCTAAAAGTAAACGAAAACAGCTCAATTGCATGGGCAGGCAAAATTTAAAGAAGCTATCAAAGTGGATGAGTTTCCAGATTTTTCTTCTCTGTGGCTGTTACAATGGGGATGCCTAAAACTCCATCTTTCTGGCCATATGAAACAGGAGGAGGAGCCAGAGAAGGAGGTCTCATTCCATCTGTGAACCTATAGAGGACTCTGGTGCACATCTAGCTACCCGTGCATGGAAGAGTCCCAAACCCAGCTTTAAGAACTGAAGTGATATTTGAACCACTACCCATAGGGGTGAAACAGAATTTGCAGTCTGAACCTAAAGACAGCCAGCAGTTTTCAGAGGATTATCCAGGACCCAGAGTCTACATAACATAATCACAATGTCCAGGATATAATCTAAAATCATTTAATATAAAAAAGGATAATCAGAAAAACATGACCATTTCTCAAAGGAAAAGACAAGTAACACAGTCTAACCCCAAGATGATCCAGATGTAGGATTCTCAAAGACTTGAACGTGTAATGGTGCTCCAGAAAGTAAAGAAAACACACTTGAAATTAAAAGATAGAAATATATGGCATATAAACTAAAAAAAGTACAGACAGAAATTATAGAAATGAAAATTACAATATATGTTATAAAAACTCACACGATGGACTCAAAAGCAGAATGAAACTGGCAGTGGGAAAAGTCTAAACTTGAGAATAGATCGATAGGAATTATCCTATCTAAAGAACAGAGAGAAAAAAGACTGGGAGAAAAAAAGGGCCGCAAGGAGATTTGTGGGACAGTAACAGAAGGTTTAGAGCATGTGTTCACTGGAGTCTCAGAAGAAGAAAGAGATTGAGGAAGAAAAATATCTGAAGAAATTATGGTCAAGAACTTTCCAAGTTTGGTGACAGGCATGTGTTTTTAGATTCAAGATCTGGGACCTCCAAACAAGAACAAAATTGTATCTAGACACGTCATCATAAAACTGCTGCAAACTAAACATAAAGAGCAAGTCTAGCCTCACATCCACCAAATTAACCATTGTCAAAAAACAAACAAACAAACAAAAAAATCCCACCAGAAAATAGTAAATATTGGTGATGATGTGGAGAAACCGAAACCCTGTGCACTGTTAGTAGAAATGTAAAATGGTGCAGTCCCTACAAAAAACAGTATGGCGGTTCCTTAAAAAATTTTAAATACAATAATTATATAACCCAGCAATTCCACTTCTGGATATACCCCCCAAAACCAAAAGCAGGATCTTGAAAAGATATTTGCACACCCATATTCATAGCAGCATTATTCACAATAGCTAAGATGTGGAAGCAATGTAAATGCCCATCAGTGGGTGTACACATAAACAAATTATGGTATATACACGCAATGGAATGTTATTCAGCCTTAAAAAGATTCTGACACACTCTACAACATGGATGAACCTTAACCACATTATGTTAAGTAAAATAAACCAGTCACAAAAAGATAAATACTGTATGATTCCACTTCTATGAGGTAATTAAAGTCCTCAAGTTCATAGAAACAGAAAGTGGAGTATTAGCTGCCAGGGGCTAGGAACAGAAAGGAAACAGAGAGTTGCCGTTTAAAGGGTGTGCAGCTTCAACTCTGTGAAAGGAAAAAGTTCTGGAGCTTGGCTGCACAACAATGTGAATATGGGTAACACTACTGAACTGAACACTTATTTTTAACATTTAAAAATATTTAAACTGGTTAAGTTCAGTGTCATATGTATGTCACCAAAATTAAAATTTAAAAGAACTTTCGAAAGAGACTAGAGAAAAACGACTGTCACATACA